TAAAAGACGGAAGCACGCTCAACTTCCATCGCCTGGGAGACATGAGGAAGTAACGCTTTATGATTGACGGTAGAAGGGAGGATTATAAATTTAGCGAAGCTTTCTCATGATCTACCAGTCTAAAAGATGATATTGGCTGAGTTAATGTGCTGTGCGTTTATGTTTCTTCCCGTCATCGCCAACTACAGCAAGGATTCACGCCTAGAAAGTTCTTTTGTGCCCGAGTTGTTTCTAAAGAGGAAAAATGTGTTTGCTGAATTGGCACTCGTTCAGTCGTCTCACATCGATCGTCGAGGATACGACTTTGTTAAATTAGACAGGGGATTTAAACCGATCGCGTCTTCTCCCAGGCATAACATTCACGTACATCAAAAAATGCCAAAATACATGTTCAAGACGATTGTCAAAACAGAAAAAGTACCGATACCGTATACTGTGACGATTGAAAAAAAAGTGCCTGTTAAAGTCGAAATTCCAGTGGACAAGCCTTACCCAGTGTATGTGCCGACACCGTATCGCTTCATTGTTGAGAAAAAAGTGCCTGTGCGCGTATCAGTACCCGTACCACATTTTTACACGGTAGAGAAGCATATTCCCTATCCAGTACAGATAAATGTGGACAAACCTTATCCAGTATCCGTCTCAAAACCCTACCCTGTCTTTGTAGAAAAAAGGTTCCGTACAGACTAGAAAAACATGTCCAGCACAAGCCACAATCAGCGGATACAACCAGTGGTATGAAATATGATCATCGAACATTTTAATATATGTGCTTAAAAACTATCCTTGTTACATAATTAAATTAAAATTAAACGTGTAAAATGATTTCTAAGCGAGTGCAAACTAAATTGTAATTTAAATGCCTACGTTACTAGCGCTTCTTCAATGTTAAAATAAATCCTCATTTTTATGATTTCTTATTATGTATTTTGAAATGAAAATATCATCTAGCTCTTAGTAAATAGAAAAGATTAAATTTCATAAATATCTCTAAATGAGATCAAATCGTTTGTGTCCTGCAAACCTATAAAAATTCAGTGGCTGTTGTAACTGTAGTCGTTAAATCTTAATCTGTGATGTATTTTTTTCATGACCTACCAGGAAAAAAAAGGAACGATTTTTGTAATGAATTAGTAAAGGTTTAACAGTTATTATTTTTTATTTATTTTTGAAAAATTTCAACAAATACATGATTTTTACACATCTCTAAAATATTTGATGTTCAAAATGAATATAAATAAAAGTAGAGTTATAGTGTAGGACTGGATTTGGTTAGACTGGACTCTGGAAGGCAGAAGAATTTTGACTTCGGCCTTGTTCTTAGGTAAATAATAATAGATCTTGTCCTGCATTGGTATTTGGGTCTCCCATTACAGTCTCCGCTCCTGTGAAATATTCTATGTTCCCCAACATAAGACGAATTATGGGTCGGAATGCTGTCTTTCCCGGATAGTTTGACATATTAATCGATTTGGAGATGACGCGGATCCTTTCTCTGGCGCCCAGTTGGTTTTCAAAAAGATTTTTTTGAGCTTTAAAAGAACGATTCACTGATCCTTCGTTTATTTTTATCTACACAGTTACACTCACACACATCAACTTCGGATGCATCACCTACAAATTGATAATAGACGGACGCAAATTCTGACGGGGAATAGCAGAAGCAGAATACTTGCATCGATTCTCCATCATACTTATTCATGCAGTCAAGCACCACCTCAAACTGTGAAGTGTGAACCACCGGAGTGCAAAGGCATCCAATAGGCCGGACTTCCTTAGCTGCAGTGAATGGTGACAACGGTTACGATGGCCTTCGGCAAAGTACGAGTTTCTGAGACCGAGATCCTGCCGTGTTTTGTGAATATAGTGATTGCCATTTTTATCTGAGCAATTAAAAATTTTTCGTTCAATGTTGAAAGTCCTCTTTTGTGTTTTGAAATTCAGTTTGGTTACTTTTGATTTTTTATTCATATGGCCTTTTTTTCTTTTTGTTGTACTTATTTTGAAATAGACCTCATACATGTAATATTAATAATGGAGCATGTATTTAAATCTCCCTAGTGATAGGGTGCACTTTTATCATGGGAAAAAACATTTTTTTTTCCTTTGCTACAATTTCTCTTGTTATATATTGTAGTTATTATCTAGATGTAATCTATTATTTTTATCTAATGTTAAGTTTTTACATTATAAATTTTTATTTATATTTTTTGTACTCTTGACTGTTCAATTTTGGGTCATTTGACCCGCTTGAAATGAATAAAAGTTCAGTTGTGTTGTAACTGTAGTTGTTAAATATTAATAAAATGCTGTGATGATTTTTTTTTCGTGACCCACGAAGAAAAAATTAACTTTTGTACCGAATTTTGTAATAATTACGTTTATAGTTATTTTTTATTTATTTTTCAAAAATTAATAAATCGCGAAATATTTTTACACACGTCTTAATCTTTTAAAATAAGGCAGATTTTAATTGATAAATTTACTACATATTGTGATTATTGTTAAGATTTTTTAAAATGTACCTGGAATGCATTAAACCGGGGCTTTCCAAATTGTGGTCCGCGGAGGAAAAACGGAGAATGAATAAATACAATTAAAAAATTAATAACGATGAGTACTGAAAAAAAGTTTCAATAAAAACTTTAGCAGTGAAACAAACGCCAATTTTACAAAAAAAATAAGATATTCCGCTAAACCTTCAACTCTTGCCAGTTTTGACGGCTTAGTCGATTGTAGCGCCTTAAATGCGTAAACCGGGCTTCCCAAATATGGTCCGCGGTGAACTAAGAGAAAGTAATAATTACAAAAACTAATAACAATGAGTACTGAAAACGAAAGATTTTAATTTATAGCAGCAGTCATTGTGTTCTCCACAGACATGCTTTAGCAATGAAACAGATGCCAGTCTCTTTTAAGAAAGTTTTGGATAAGCATTCAGATTATTAATTATATCAAGCCACGGCCATCAAAGTTTTCACAATATATTGATGTGGGAATTCTTCATCATTCCCAGCTTCACATACAGAATTTGCGTGGCTGTCTTGTGTGAATGCACTTTCATGATTATAGGAATTACATTCTTAAGTTTTATGGACCGCAATTTCAAATTGACCAACGTTTTCAGTGATGAGAAATGTCAATGTATTCTTTCGTAATTATCAGATTTTTTCATTAAAATTAATGAGATGAGTCTTTCTTTGTATGAGAAGGGTATCTCAACTTTCGATGCTAATGGCAAAGTTCTTGACTTCAAAAGAAAAATCAAGTTTTTGGTTTAATCTGTTGAACAGGAAGAGGTTGTGTTGTAAATGATTTTTTAAAAGGAAACAAACTGAAGCTTGCGATTGGCACGTTGATTGATGGAATATCTGAACATCTTCAAAGTTGGGAGATGTCCTTTGAGTACTACTTCCCAACAGCTCAAGTACAATACTGCAAGACCATTAATGGGTGGTCGAACCATTTACAGTTTCGACAAAGCCAACCATACGTCTTCAAGTGAATACCAATGTTTGATAGACATTACTTTATTATTCACCTTGAAATCTACTTTTAAGTCCGATACTTCCCCCCATTTTTGACTACATCTGGTAAACAAAAAATTTCAACTTCTCCTTGAAAAAGTAAAACATGTTCTTCTTCCATTGGCACACCTATGCAAATCCGTACTTTCTATATATACAATACCTAAGCTGTCCTAGATGCTGAATCCGACATCCGCCTTCAGCTATAAGAATAAAAACCCAACATAACCAAATTGTGCATGCTAACACTCCCTCTCTCTTCCCATTTATTCATTAATCATTAATGTTCAAATTATTACTTTTGAATTTGGTTCGAGTTTTACATCCCTATTGATTCCGTTCTGTCCAATTTGATTTTTGTGTGCCATTTTTTGTAAATAAGGTTGTCAATCTAATGATTGTTTTCATAGTGGTAACCCTCTCCATCACCTTATTAGGAATGGACTGGCTAATTTATAAAACTTTAATTTACTAAATACTCTGGATTTTGTTCTGTGAAAAGGATCGCTGGCTATACACTTTGGGAAGCTTTAAACTATTAATAAACCATTACTCTGGTGAGTTGATCCTCCCGTAGACAATAAGCCCCAGCGGGAGATTCATTTTTCCTCACTTTTCACACAAAATATAAGAATGGTTCAACGAGAGGAGTCTGTGACGAGGGCTATACAGTCTGAATACTTTCTTCTGTATTAGATTCAAATATCAAATTAGTGTTTTCGTCTGCAGTGATTCAGGCTTGAATCTTTGTCAAATGAAGTGGTTGTTTTTGCTGAGAAGGGAATGACTATTTTTCAATTATTTGGCGAACTTGCTCAGGTAAAGATTATCTAAATACAATTGAAATGCCACCAGCTCTACATGGGAAGTAGCTCTCTCCCTAGTCCAGCAATTGTCTAAGATTTGATAAGCCCAAGGCTACTATATTTACATTACTATTTATTTATGTTACTATAACTATTTTGTAAACCATTACTTCTGTTAATAATAAAAGTATTCTTCTTCTTCTTCTATTAACAAAACTAGAATATTAACAATAACAATACAACTGCAAAAAATAATTAGTTTTAAGGTCCACAAAAATTATTTATTTTGTAATAAATATTCAATTCAGTATGTAATGTTTTCAGTATGTATATTCAGTGTAAAGGTTTATTTAATTTTTTAACTTAAATTAATTGTATACTATGTATTATTGTAGATACAAATTTATTTATTTGTATCTACTTACTTATTTACGCACTTTATTGACTAAATCTTCAAATAAAATTATCTTACGCAATTTTAAAACAAGATTTTTTAAAGATATTCAAGTGTAACACCTATTGAAAAATATCCAATAAATTTAGGGAGAGTTGGTTACCTCGGAGATGTAGTGATCCGACTGAAATATAAGACAACACTTATAAAATGTATTTATTAATCAGGTGTATGAAAAACAATAAAAGTAAAGAAAAAGAAAAGAAAAACCAGTGGGTTGAAAATAAATATATTTAATTTTTTTAAATAATACCAACTGTACATTTGAAAACAATGATTATACCCTAATGGTAAGAAACAAAAATGCTAATACATACACAATTGGTTTGATTATTTGGAATCAGAGTGTCATTCCCAAAATGGCTTAAGTTTGCAGATATATTACAGAATCACACAGCTAGTGTTTTCCACATAACCAATATTATTAACAACCTTAACAAGGAACAATTACTAATAACACAATCAAAATAAAAATAAAAAATAAATTGTAAGAACAATATAACATAAATTTAAAAACCTATAACTTGAATATTAACCCCGAAGATTGACTGATTGAGGTTCTATTTTGACTGTTATAATATTAAAATGCTCCCAAGTAAGGTGAGAACATAAACGATAAATGTCATGCATCTGAAAATTGTGTCATAACTATTTTGACCCTGAAAATAAAATTAAGCATAAAATAGAAGAATTTCGAATTTAAGCAACATAAACATACTTGTCAAATAGCATACTATCTGGTGTCATTATAAGTTGCTGGAGTAACCTAAAAACACCGATTTCCTTAAGTTTAGCTTGCCTCTCTGCTGAACCACTCTCTTCTTTCCAAACAAGATTAGATATACAAAAAATGGCTGCAATTTGCAGCTTAACATTACTGTGAGACTGAAAAACAGTAGATACATTTATCTTTAAGTATATACCATGAAAAATATTGCGTTAATCTTTAATTTTTACCATATATTCTTGTAGTTTTTTTAAAACATTATCATTAGACATAATATATTCTTTGGCAGAATCACCATCACCAATGTTCCCAAGTATGCAAAGTGCTTGCTCTTTAACATCAACCGAGTGATTACCATCAAGTATAAGTGTTATAGCCTTAAACATATGAATTCACTTGATATGAAGCATGTTTTACATGATTCCAAAAACAAGTACATCGGAATCAGCTAAAACGACATGAACTACTGTAATTGTAATGATTAATACAAAATGGACTTACTTGCATGATTTGAATACCGTGTAATGACATAATGTGGTCAATATGTGGCTTTGTCGACAGTAAATTTCTTAATAGCCCAAGTGTTTTCATTAGTACATTCACTTCAGGATCAGATAAAAGCCTGAAAATTTGTTCGGTCCCAAGAGTGTGTAAAATTTGTGTTTTAATCTTCTGTTCAGCTTGGAATGCCATATTCTAGAGAAAAAATGAATAAATGTTTTGCTAATAGTTGTAGTTTTCCACTAGCAGTACAACTTCACTGATTACAATATTGCCACTGTGCAATGTTAGGTTGCTGCTAATGGTACAGATAACATCACCTACCATTAAGGCCCATATTCCGTTTAATCTCAAAGCTGGATCAGGCCTGTGTGTCAAATGGCATAGAAGTTCCACTGCACCTGATTCAAGTATTGGTTCCTTTGCTGGGGAAAATTCTAAAAGGAGATTACACAATGTTGAAGATGCAACGCTCAGAACTTCATCTGCTGCACCATGCAGCAAGCCCATCAACGGCTTCCACACTGAATGATCCTGTAACAAACCAGGGAACGTCTATCTAACAATCTTATACCAAGTCAGTACCTCTTACCAAGAAAGTTGTCCTGAGCTGCTGCACAGATCTGGAGAGAGAATGTAAGCAACGGACAGCGGACATCCGCACTTTATCATCACTATCGTCTAAACTAACAACAACTTCATCCATAAGCCTCTCTGTCTCTATAATCCTCTTACGGATATCCTCATCATTTGCTCCTAATGAAGCAAAAGCCTAAATACAAACATTTAAATCATTATTTTTTTTAAATTTCTTCAAAAGGTTATACTGTAGGGTTATTAATAAATGAATTATTGTTAATTATTTAAAGTTATAATGTTGAGGTTTGCAGTTGCCATGTAGTCAGCATGTCTAACTTTCGGACCATGTGATAGTAAGTTCAATTCCACTTCCAATGGTCCATTAAAAGAGGATCACTACACTTGTAAACTACTATTAAAAATTAAAAAAGAATGTTTAGCCGTTTTCAGTCAGAGATCAAACTTAATTTTAGGGTACTATTGTATGTTCTTCAGAAATAATTTATTGAATTGTACCCTGAAAGCTGCTTGTTTCATGCCATTAATCAGTCTTGGATCCTGGTGCACGTTGTTGTTATTGTTGTTCGTCTCAGCCTGGCTTTGCACCATGCTTGCCAATGTGGGGATAAGTTGATTCGAAATAGACGCTAGTCTTTGTAAATCAGTATTCACTTCTGTTAAGTAGGCAATGGTTTCTGCAGCAACGATCCTCTCTTCACATGGCCTGTCTTTCTTGCAGAGGACCACCTAGAAACCTTTAATTTATAAAATTGTTAAAAAATCAAAACATACACTTTCTTACAAGACAAGGAAGTGTTTTGTAAAGTATTTTAGGATCTTCAGCAGCTATGGCTCCTGCCCGGTGGATATAAGTCAAGCATTTTGCTGAAGACAGTTGCATATCACTGGGTCGGTCTCGTGCCATTAGCCCTACTAAAAAATCAGGAATCGATTTTCCGCCAAAACTACAGAATAAAAAAAAAACATTAAAAATAAAATTTGGACTAGAGTTGACAAAATATACCTAGCAGTAGCTATAATGGCACAGACTCTAGAGTTTTCATAAGCAAGATTTGCTAGACAGTTTAGAGTCGGCATAATAACTGAATAATGTTGAGAACATAGTAATGCAGCCAGCGTATAAATAGTTCCTTGCTCACACATCAAAATCTGGTGTTCATAGTACTTAAAAAAAATTATATAAGCAATCAACTTTTGAAAATAGGATTTCATATAAAGATAAGGAGAAAGAAAACTTACTTTACAAGAGGCACCTAAGATAGTGGTAACACAAATTTGATTAGACACTGTCCCCATGGCCAGTGCGAGAAGATGAGCAATTATATGCTTGTCACTGTTCACTAGTTCAAATGGTGCGTTAGGATGGGAAAAGATGGAACAGGCACACCTCAAGCAAACATCTTTCAACTTTGGATCAGAACTGGACAAAATGCCTGCAACAAGAAATTGCCATTGTTTTTGCCACTATGTTGAAAAAATTGAAGGGCCTACCCTCCCATTTACTTTTTTAGACATTACTTCCAAGGGGTATTGAAGTTGGGCGATAGGCTCCAAGTGGAATCTGAATAGGTTCTGTACTTATTTAATAACAAAGTGTACTTGTTTTACAAAAGTTATTACAATTAATTATCTGTAAAAAACAAAATATTTAATTTGAATTACAATTTTTATGTAATGTTCAGATGAAAAGTTAGTATCATGAGCAGGACTCAAACCCAACCCAGCTGGAGGTCATGGGTTCGAGTCCCGCTCATGATACTAATTTTTCATCTCAACACTTTACATAAAAATTATAAATCAATTTAAATCATTACTTTAGTGAAATAGGACCAACTAAATTACATAAGGATTAAAAATTGTTTTAATTTCGGACCATTTTTGTTTTTTAAGTAATTATAAATATATTCAATTTATTTACACGATTTTTTATTTTAAAAAATTGTGTACACCAGATTGAATATTTATGTCCAAAAATTTAAATTTCAAGTCCAAAATTGTTTATCCCCTACATAATTTCTTTCTCACACTTTAGTTATTTATCATTTTTACCACTGAAACTGAAATCAATTAATGAGATTTATAAACAATTTAAACAATATTGGTAATAATTATTTGACACTGCAATCAACATTTTTTATTGAAACAATTCTTTAAAATTTACTCTGTATTTTTTTCAGGTTTTCTTAATTACAAAGCTGTGAATACTCCTTTTCAAATTAAAATATATTTTCAATATTTACTTTTAGTATCAATTACACAATTGAAAACAAATGAAAAGGTGTGTAGAATTAGTTATTATAAAAGAGATAATTCGCAATCCACAAAATATAAATGTCAGACAAATGGCTAACCACCCAACTAACCATCAATCATGAGGCAACATTACTGTACATGCTTTTTCCCTCAAAAAATTCCACAATACATGGATTTCACACCAGATCTGCTAGCATCTAATGATGATAATGGGCACTAAGAAGTGGAGTTTGTGCTCCCCAAGCACTGCAGCCTTCTGGTTTACTTGTACCTTCCTAGTTCCCTTTTCAGTGCAATTGACTCAATCACTTTTCTTAGAAGTATTAGGTCACTGACAGTTACCTGGTAAAATTTAGTTATACAATTTAACTAAGCTCTATTGATTCCCCAAGTCTTGTTACCTTCATTCTTTAACAAAATTGAGGCAAGCAGCCCTCAAATAGGATTCCTATAGGGTAGGCTAGAGTACCAACTTTTATTCATTGCATAATCTGCACATGGGATCATCATTGAATATACCTTTGTTATTTACATGTTTACTCAGAAGCCCTCTTCAATTGCAGCAATGCTTTTGCCAGTCTTGGTGAGGGTTGTTTTAGCATAAGTATACAGTGTCTAGTGACCCTAGAGTTTACCCACTTCTCCTTTTCTAGTTTTTGGATCCATTATGTGATGGAGGATTGTTTTTATTAACCCAAGAATAGGTTCGAGGCCTGTATGTGGTCTTGCAGATTTTACCCTCTACAGTGTGTCTGATTTTTCATTAACCGAAATTCCTTTGTGACCTGGCACACAAGATGGCATCAGGTTGTTGGGTTTTGGAAATTTTGGATGAATTAACTAAATGTCTTGATGTGATTTTTGTACACACTAATGCTTTAATAGCTTCTTGGCTTCTGATCAAGGAATTTTTTGCTAGTGTATCCTCTTTTAAGATTTTCTATGGTAAAAATTGATGACAAGTATTTCTGCTTGATAGACTGAAGATAATTTCCTAATGAGTTTGGTTACAAAGCATCAGCATCAAGTTTTGTTTTTGTTGTTTTAATTAGTATTATATCATTTTTTACTGTATATATTAATTTTTATGCAAAGAAGAATGGGATGAAAAATTAGTATCATAAGCGGGACTCAAACCCACAACCTCCAGCTTTATATCCCAGTGCTCTACCACCCAATAAACCAATTCCTTATCTCAACCGACTATTATTTAAATATTCTCTTTCCGCAAATATTCTTGAGCACTGAAGTCATAAAGCTGAAGTGGTAGAGCACTAGGGAATAAAGTGGAAGGTGTTGAGTTCGAGTCCTGCTTGTGCACCAATTTTTCATCCCTTCCTTCTTTCCTCAACAATTAAGATATACTATAAAAAAATTATTAAGTACTACAGCTATTAAAAACTGGTTAAGATAACTAATAAGAATTATTCTTTATGTTTGAACACTGGTTAATCATCGGCTATCGTCTAATATAATTTTGTTTTTATCATCAACTATTTCTGGATGACAGATATGAGCCTCTTTGTCGCATTGGATGTTAATGAGTTTCAAGTAATACTATATATTAAAATTTTGCAATTTCATGACACAAAAATATTTTTAAAAAATTATCAGTCGCTGAGCAAGGAGGAGGGTCTCCAAAATAACTAAATCAACACGAGATAATCAAATTGTTGTGTCAGAAATGTGATTAAAACCGGTGTCGTTTATTTGCTTACAATTGAACAGAAGCGGCGTGACTCCGAAGTCGATGAGTTGTTTGACGTGGTTTTCGGTGCCTTTGGCGAGGGAGCCGAGAGTGACGGCGGATTGGATCCTGATTTCGGATGGGAGGCCGGGCTCCTGCAGCAGCTGCATTAGTTTCGTGACGACCCCCTGCGCTATGACACTTCCTTTCTGTCTGTTGCTCCCTATCACTGAGTTCTTGAGACATCTTGAAAACAAAACGTTATTTTCCACTACAAGTCGACTGTCCGATCCGTATCCCCGTTTCATCCACACTATACTTACATTATCGCGTCTAAACACTTCTGCGGATCTGGAGAATAGAGTTCGTCGATGTAGGACCGACAGCTTTCGACGTCCTGAAAAACGAAGGGGTTGAGAGCGGACTTAGAACGTGCCGAGGGGGATTTCGTCTGTGCCTTACCATAAAGGGCTGGGCCATCGAGACCATTTCAAAACGTTTTTGTAACCTAGGAATTTAAAAGACGCAACAACCGGTGCCTCCGTGCCAAAGAAAATGGTCATCATCACAACGGATGCCACATTGATTTCATGTGAACACAGTCACTGACAAACGTGCAAGCGCTCGGCGATCCACAGCGGCCGACGCACAAACACCACGGCCACCTCCCCTCCAACGCCTCACTATCGCAGAACGGAAAGCCCTTTGCCCGCCTTATTACGACAAGTTCATGCTTTATTCAAAGTTCAACTCCACAAAAGTGGAATATATATTAACAAAGTCTTTGAATTTAAATTTAGGCAACGATCTTCAAAAAATTAAGAAGGGTTTTTACGATGTTAACCAATTGGATTTTAAGGATGATGTCCAATGACTGCATATCAATATTAATACCTTTTTTCGAGTGTGGTGAGCGCCAGTGGATGACTGTCTATAAACTGAAGATGAAAAGTTTTAATCGTCAAATACATACATTTGCCTAGTTGCTTCTGATAGCTTTAAAAGAATGTCCAAAGTCTAAAATTCAAGTTCAAGGGGGTCCGAGGACCCTGAAGAAGTCCTGACATATCTGACAACATCCGCCTGATGCTCCGAATGATTTAGACGAAGCAATACGTTTGATACGAATTCCAAATGGACCCGTTGACGAAATACGACCAAAGACCTTTTTTTTATTTCAACTGGAGAGAGAAATCGAAACAATGTTTCCAACCTTACATGAATATTTTGATGTATGTAATATTCCTAAAACTCGTTGATAAAAAGTAAAAAATATTTATGGATTAAATCACAGCACAGAACAAAAATGATCGAATGTAAAATATGTGTTTTATGTTCTTTGTACATATGTATTACAAACTGAAACAACAACAAACACGAATTGGACCTCCCCCCATCGATTGTAGTTAAGGTATTCCTCTTAAAAATGGACGGAGACGAAAAAATTTCATCTTCAGACGAGACGACTGTTGAAAACTCGTCAATGAATATTGATTATTTTTATTTGAGTTTAGGTTTTATGATAAAATCCAACTTGGACGGAATCGGAGGTGGACGCTTGGAGAATTCGATATCGTCTTGGCATTGGCTGGATCGTCGGGACTCCTCCATTTTCCGTAGCCGTCTCGCCGTGTCTCGTTTGGAAACGGTTCGATAGTAACTGCAGTGTTGTGGCATGGAACTTGGCCGGACAGGAGTTTGAAGGAGAGTAGTCCGACTCATAAATCCTCCATCAATCCAGCAGCTTTCCGTTCGAAAAATATGCCCGTGCTTCAAAATATGTGAAGTGTTTCGGTTCTGAGTCTCGAGTTTACCCTCGTCGCCCCGCCTGCGCCCTTCGGCGGTCTTCGCCTTCGAATCTGCCGAGCACCTCTTTTCGACTCCCAGTTCGACGAATTCTATAAAATGGTGATTACCTTGTCTTTTCGCCTTTGAACAATTTCTTCTCGTCTTTTTGAATAAGACGGACGTTCCTTGGAAAGTTTATCCGGACGGCGTGTGCTCCTAACCACGTTCTTCCTTGTTTCATTCTTCAATGTAAACGGTATTAATTCTCTTGTCAATAATGTATGTTTACGTTTTTGTCTAGATGTCCACTGACCCATCTCTCGTACCTCCTGGAACTCTACCCACTACATTCATCCCGACCACTTCTGCCGGAAAGTGAGTGAGAACAACTTTATTTATTTTACGCATTTTTGAGTGATGAATTATATATTTTTTTAAATACTCAACCGTTAATTTCACTGTCTGCACGGACAGAACCAGGTCAACCCGATCCAAACATTTTCAAATTGCATCATCACAAAGTTTTATTACAGTTAAATAAACAAATTGTACGTTAATAGGTTTTTGCATTTCTTAGTGACCCATTGTTTCATAATTTGTTGAAGTCGGGACGAGCAGTCAAGAATGAGGTAGTTGTGAATGTTTGTTGTTTGACAACACATTCACACAAAACCAAAATGACACCATAAGAATAGTGTTCTCTTGGTTGTTATCAGGGATGTGGTAAAGAAAATATTTTTAATTTTAAATCTTTGCTTAGCTTTTGGAACTTTATTGTACCTTCTTCAGGGTTCTACAAAAGGATATATTATACATTTTAATTTTGGCAACAAGATACACATTTTTGTACTTATTGATTTTTAGTTAGAAGTATATAAACTTAAATTCTTTTATTTTCATATTAACACTGATAAACTTTTCACTTTTTTCTTCACGTTTTCAACTATGAAATGTCTATACTAATTTTAGTTTCAAAGGTTCAGTTTCACTAGTCGACACATCATCACTTTTTCTTATTTTTCCTCAATATGGTTCTATTTCAACATTGTGTTTGTTATACAATTTAGATTCATTTATTTGTGGTTTTGGTAGTAAGGAAGTAGAGAAAGGACACAATTTGAAAAGGAAAAATCTGTATTGACGCAATGGAAATCAAGAGAAGGTATGAGATCTGGTAGCGATGAAGCCTCAGGTCAGAAAGAAAATTTCTTCTGTTAATCGGCCTTCTTAATTCTCTCACTGGTGTTATTCCAACTGTGCTAGTGATGATGACCACTAAGCCAGCACGATAACGATGACACTCGATTCACACACAGTATATATTTGTAGAAATGATGGAGTGAGTGCGGTGTTCAATCCTTTTTACAAAAAATGGTTCCTATTCACAGTAAGTTGTTTTGCAACGATCCAGATTTCAAGCTTTTAGCTCGAAACTATCTTTTTAAAAGGAGTATATATTTGTGCTTTGTGTTGTTGTTCTTGTTTCCTCTGGCCTACCTAGATACATTGTGTTTTCTTTGCTCCTTTTTATTTTCTGGAAGTAGTGAGGATAATGTACTCAAACCGCCTTTGCTTTTCCTATTATTTTTTGGCTATGCATTTCAGAGCCATCTTACAGACTCCTTTCTTCATCACTTTGAGGAGCTGGGAAAGATGACCCTGAAATGCATAGCCAAAAAATTAAAGGTTTTTTAATGTTTTTTTAAAAATGTTTTTTAATGTTGCTCCAAATTGGAACATTTTTAAAATTTCAATTAATTATACTGTTAATAAGGTCTTGGTCGAGATTTAAAAAAAAAAAAAAAAACGTGTCACAAGAGAGGGATTCGATCCCTTGACATTCGGGTAAATACGCCACTGTTCTAACAATTTGAGCTATCGAGATTCAATCCATCTTGACTCAAAAACCCCATCTCAACCTACAACCTTTGAATTTTTCTTTTTGCCATATTTTGGTACTTGGTAGCCGAAGACTACTTTATTTTCAAATCGCTTAGCATAGAAGAGAGATGCCTCAACTTTTGGAAAGCAAAAAAAACCAAATCCATTTTAGATTGTCTTATTGTTATTATTTCTAACTTGATTTTCTTTGTTTCAGTGTTGGATACATGGTGATGTCTTATCCTGGTAGGCCTCCTATGGTCCCTGGAATTCCTATGCCCCCTACAATGGGCATGCCCTACATGCCTTTGGGAGGTAATTATTATTATTATTTTTTATTTACCATTTTATTGAATTTGTTTACACCCTTTTAGCACCTCCTCCTTTGATGCCAGGAGTGATGTCGATGGGGCCTATGATGGGGGGTCCCCCTTTGCCACCTATGCCGGGGCCGCCTCCTGTTAGGACATATAGGCCACAACATGTCACTACACCGGCGACGGTTTCTGCAAGACCCAAGGTGGCACCACCCGTGAGGTATCTTCCTCCACAGCCTGATGGGCCGGTGGTGACAGTCTTTGTCGGTAATATTACTGAAAAAGCTCCCGATCAGATGATTCGATTTATTTTGTCTGCTTGCGGTCATGTAACATCTTGGAAACGAGTGCAAGGTATGTATTTACTTAATATTTTTGGTTAATGAGCAACTAGAAACTGATAGTGTATTGGTTTTATAGCTTTTGGATTTTGTGAATTTGGTAATCCTGATGCTGGTCTGAGGGCAATAAGAATTCTTCATGATTACGATATCGGTGGCAAAAAACTAGTCGTCAAAGTGGATGCAAAAACAAAAACAGTTCTAGATGAATATAAAAGTAAGAAAGATATATGTGTAATAAACATAAAAATTCTAAATGGTTTTACTTACAGATGAAAAAAGAAAAAAAGCTGGTAGCAGTTCTCCATTACAGGATGAAACGACCGATGAGGATGACTATATGGATGATGAAATGAAACAATCTGATAAAGCTGCTCTAGAAAGGATTTCAATGATTCTTTCAGATTATGAGTCTGAGATGAAAAATTATGTACCCCCTCAGTCAGATGACCAAAAGTCATGTAATTTTTTTTTTTAAATATATTTTTTATTTATTTTAAACAACTATGTTAAAATGAACTTATTGGCTTTTAGCTTCTGATATCAAACTCCCAGTTCAGCCTCCTACTATACGACAGGATACAACAGTAAGTATCTATTTATTGATGCATGAGACAGGTTTTTGATCTGTTAAGTACAAAAATGTTCATTATGATTTTGTACCTTATTCACATGAATTACAATTATTTATGAAACTAGTATCACAATGTTTAGATTTGATGAAAGTTATATTTAGTTACAGAATTTGATTTTACAAGATTAATTATTTTTAAAAAAATTTCCCCCACAAAATGTTCCTTGATATTTAACAGAAAACTTGTTTTACAGCCTGTGGATTTGACAGACGCTAATATTGAAGATGACAGGAGGGATTTAATTACAAGAGAAATTGGGAAATTCAGGGAAATCATGAAGGTACGATTAATTTTATTTTTTGAGTTATTCATATTTTAAGAATAAACTTTACTTGGAGATTGATTAAAATACAAAAAAAAACCAAAATTTTTTTTTCTTTTGTCCGACTGATGGAATATCAGTTATAGATTATAAATATATATTTTTGGCGGTTATATTTTTCACATTATTTTAGGTTTTACTGAACAAAATTATTAAGTTTTAAAAAGTATCATTTAAAAAAAAAAAAAAAATTGTGTATACATTTCATATCAGTTTTAAACTTAAAGGCTAATTGTTGAATTATTTTGTCTTTTCTGTCCCTTTTTTTAAATAATTCATCATTATTTAAAAATAAAAAAAATAAATTAGGGTAATTGTAGTTAAGTGGTTGGTAAGTGTAAAAATTTGGTGCCCTGACATTATGTAGGGAGAGGCCAAGAGACTTCAGCAGTGGTTGCGGACAAACTGCTCCTTGATTGACCTATGCCATAACGGTGAGTCCAATAAAAGTTAAATTGTGGGCTGAAGAAACATTTCGGGAACAATTTAAGTGTCACTGTAATATTTACAATCTTTTGTTTTACTAGTCATAAAATTAAAGAAATTTTGGAATTGGTAAATTTGTTATAAGGCTACTGACACTTGATTTGGATCTGACTATATATGCCCATTGGTTTAGGACCATCTTAAGTGTTCTATTAACTATATTACATATAATAACTGTTTTACTTAGGCATGCTTTGAAGTGGCTTTAGATTTGAATAGCCACTTCATTTTTATTTCTTAAAACAATTTGTTTTGTTATAACAATGTTATTTTAATAATTTCCAATAATTTAAAAAACAAAATATTATTTTTCATTTTGTTTGGCTGCAGGAATACAACAAATTACAATCACAATGTGATAATCAAATGTGCATGATTAGACCTGACCTTTTTAAACATTACAATTGAACATTTTTTGTCTGTTCTATCATGGATGTTTTGAAATAAAGATTTTAGTTGTCACATTGTTAATTTTATCATTTTAATACTTGAGTTTGTTGTTAGCATGGTTCAGTTTCCTGCAATACTATTATTTTTGCATGTTTTATAGTGCAACACTTCATTTATTTTAAAGCATAAGTATTACACTACAAGTTTGGGGCCTATTTTATATTTAATATAACATATTTGTAACTTAATTATTTATCTGCCTTTTTTCTTAATAAAACCAACTATTCTCAGAAAAATTGGCACAGTGCAATTAATAGGCCGTTTGTGCTTTGTGGTTACAAAAATAGATTCATACTCTATTAAAATCTATGAACGATGCCATTTTTATTAAATTCTATCAATACTTTCTTGGGTTTTTTTTTCTAATATTAGCTTTTGATATTATTTTCTCGTTTTCTATGCCCTATTTAAATTTTGTAACAGTTCTTTAATGCAGATGTTCGGGCGTGTCGCGTTTAGTGGTAACCTTTAAATTGGTTGATAACGTTTTTTTTTTTCCAATCCTATCTATGTCGCACAATATACATATTAAAAGTTATTATTTTAGGTACTTTATTTGCAAATACTACAAATAATTAAGTTATCCCAGATTTTTTCTTATAAACTAAGTTTTAATAAGTGAGTATGAATTTATTACAGCTGAGATTGCACTTGTCAAAGCACTGCATTTATAATTTATAGTGATATTATTATTTTAAGAGGATGTATAAAGAGCATAAACTTCCTTTTCATAGTAATTCGTAGTCCACTTAAGATAATAATATTGAAATTAATAAAAGGAAAAAAAGGCTTAGGGTCTTGCATAACTTTTGTTTCATGATTCTCCTACTTTGATCTAATGGTCTTTAATAAAGACACAGTGTTGTTGTTTAATAGAGGTAGTGGTGGCTACGTTTAATAATAAAGGCCTGATTGTGTGATATTTAGCTATCTCTTCCTACCATTGAAATATTGCCGACAACAAGACTTCAATTTTATATTCACCTAAAGAAAACCATTTTCTTTTGACTGTCAGGTATGAGTTTTTTCTTTCTTACCTTTCTCAGTTAATAAACTAAAACATCCAATGCTTGAAGGTAAGACAGTTCATAAATGTATTCTATTCTCTATTAAATAAAAAAAAATCTTATCATTACATGTAGTTCGGTTTTCTGTTAGCTTTTATGAATACAGGTGAATTAACACGTATATTTTCCTCAAATGAATGCATAAATTTTAATTGCTGCATGTGACTTGCTCTTTCCTTTTCCTTTTGTTTATTCATATTCTTGTGTGGATAATTAGGGTATATCAAATGGGGATTGATCTGCAATTTCCTTAAGGTAAGATAATCATTTTTCTTAAATGTTGTCTTTTTCCTGTGTGTTTGGCGTGTTAAATTGTAATTATTAAAGCTTTAGAATTGGAGCACTTGTATTACACCAGCCAAAAGAGGTTTCAAGTTACAAAATGAGTATGCTTTTTTTTTCTTATTTTTCCTTTTGATATTTAATTTGCTTTAGATGTTTCTTTAATTATAATTGTTTTAATATTTCAAACAATTTCAAAGTCTTGGAATCCTGTAATTAATACAGGTAGAGAACTGCTCTTCTCGTTATAGTGACACCGTCTAGCATCGTGATGTTCCTCTAACTCTTCAGTATGTAAGTCATAAAAAGCAACAATATCCCTGATTTAGCTACACTTGGTTGTGAAGAAACACATTTTTTGTGTTAATTTTAGAAAGATATTTTCCATCCTTACCTTCCATTCATCCACTCTATTTAGTCTTTGTAGAAAAAGTTAAATGCATCCATGATGCATGAGAACACTTGATAAAAATGAAATAATTTGTCAACCAATATTTTTCCATTATATTATTATCATTATTTTATATGTAGTTTACAATAAGTCATTTGGCCCGTTTATCGGCATGTATATTTTTTGTTGTGCAGAAACAAGAGGAAGAGAAAGAAGTAGAAAGGAAAAAACGAGAAGAAAAAGAAAGGCAGAGGCGAGATCGTTCTCCGAGTACTATTAGCAGGGATCGTGGCAAGTCCCATGACCGGTCGGTGACACCTGACAGGCGCCATCATAAATCCAGTCGCCACAGATCAAAATCCAGGTATATAATATTTTTTATATATAAAAAAAAGACATTTTACATTAATTCACAAAATACAATGTCTAGGGAATTGGAAAGAGACAGAGAAAGAGAGAGGGAAAAGGAAAGGGATCGTGACCGTGAAATTGAAAGAAGCCGAGACCGGGAAAGGGAACGTGAAAGGGACAGAGAAAGGGAAAAGGAAAGGGAGGCGAAATCCGAGAAAGAAATATTAAGGGAAAAAGAAGAGGAAGAAGAAGCTAAAGAAAGAAAGAAACAAGAAAGAAAAGCTAGAGAAAAAGAGGCTGCGTATCAAGTAAAAACAGTTCACTAACAATGTTATTTATTTTATATAGCAGAACTAACATGTATGTCTTCAGGAAAGACTCAGGGCTTGGGAAAGCCGAGAGAGGCATAAAGTCAAGGAGGGCCTCAAAGAGAAAGAAAAAAGGCGGTTGAAAGATGAAGAAAGGGAAACAGAAGCAAAAAGGCTCAAAGAATTCTTGGAAGATTACGATGATGAGAGAGATGATATAAAATATTACAAGTAAGTTTTCCACATACAAATTTAAATTGTTTCTGCTCATTTATCTTAACATTAAATCAAAACAATAGTAATTGTTATAATTTTCAAAATCACAAGGCATCTAAATATTTTTGCACCAAACATAGGTTTTGGAATAGTGTAATAACCCAGAGCAGAACTGTAGAAACTATTACTAACTCTGTACACAAAATTCATTATTTCTGTATGTATTTACTTATTTTGATTTAATTTGTTTTGGGATAAATAGAGGGAGAGAATTAGCTAGAAGACTGGAAGAAAGAGAGAAAGAAATGGAGTTGGATGCTAAGGATAGACAAAAGGAAAAAGAAGAATTAGCAGAGCTCAAAGCAAAAATATTTTCTGGAGACAGTGAAGACCCTAACGCTGAATTTGCTAAGGTAACAAAATGTGTAATAAATCCAAATAACAAATTTTATAAAGAATTGTTATTTCAGGCCCTAAAAGCAAGAGAAGAAATGTATAAGCCTAAAATCTTGATTAACGTCAATGAAGAGCAAAACAAGATTTTAGCAAAAGAGGAAAAGGAGAAAGAAAAACTAAAAGAAAGAGAGAAAGAGCGAGAGAAAGAACTAGAGAGAGAGAAGCGTGAGCGGGAACGGGAAAGAGAAAGGGAGAGAGAGAAAGTTGAACAAGAGTGGGCTGAGGATAGACGGCACGCTCAAATGACAGAAATGAAAAAGCATCACGAAAAGCAAATTGAAAGGGGGGACATTTCTAGTCCTGATAGCCGCCATTCTGATGCCCCACCAGAACCGATAGACCAAATGACCCCAGAAACTAATCATGATTCAAAACATTGCAAGTTTTCCCCCTTTCTTTCCTTTTAAACTAATAAAAAATTTAATTGATTTAATATTTATACTTTTATTTCTCCAGATAACAAAGGGCCCAGTTCTCCACCTAGTAGTGACAAAAAGAGAAAGAAATTAGATGTAAAAGAAGTTTTTAACAATGATGAAGATGAAGAAAATAATCTCGGCCACAAGAAGAGAAAGCTTGTTCCTTTAGGTATCTATAATTTTTTATCACACATAAATCTTTTTCCCTTGTACTACTTCCTTCCTTTTAATGTTTCAAGATTACGGTGACGAAAAGAAGAAAGTCAAAGAACAAGAAAAGAAGGAGGAACAGGCTAAATCTCAAGAAGAAAAGAGAAAGCACATTAAATCCCTGATAGATAGGATACCTACTGACAAGAGCGCTCTTTTTTCTTATCATTTGGACTGGGCTGCAGTAGATAATGTAAATTCTGTTCTTATTTTTTGTTTATTAATTTCACCTAATTTACTATTGGTACTATAGTAATTTTTGGCAAGAGTTCTTATAAATTGTTTAAATGTGTGATGTTCAAGTACTCTTTCACCAGATCACTAACTTTTAATGTATAACATTGCTTTTTACAAATGTAACAGCTTGCTATGAATTTGCATAACACTGTTTTTTTGTACTCTCAATTATAAAAACATGTAAGTGTTTAATTAACATATTCACTGTGGGGCTTATTTTGTGTACTACTTTACCAGGTGAATATTTTCTGAAAATTTGAAACATTGTGTCATCCTTCTGGTGATACACATGACAAGGCGTTTTCTGCAGTGAATACATCTTGGAATTAGTTTGTTTAATGTTATTAAACATTTATTTTAAATTATTAAACTTGTGCCAAAATAAACTATTCGGGTTTGTAATGCACGTAGTTCTGAATTTTTGAAATACATTTTGCCATCTTTGAAAAATAGGCTTATTCCTTATAATAAAATACTAGAGTGAACTTTTTCCTATGCAAAATCAAATTTCAGTGTTTTTTTATTATTAATTTTTATATTGTAATATTTATACTGTTTAATTTAGCAACTAATGGAGAGGAGGATACGACCTTGGATAAACAAAAAAATTATCGAATACATTGGCGAACCTGAGCCAACGCTTGTGGATTTCATATGCTCTAAAGTCATGGCTGGCAGCGCCCCACAAGGGATTCTGGACGATGTTCAGATGGTCAGTATTGCAGTTCCATTTTGTGTTGTGCAGAATGATAATACATAATCATTTTTAAAAAATTTATTATTTCTTTACTTAGGTCCTTGACGAAGAGGCTGAAGTGTTTGTCGTTAAAATGTGGAGACTTTTAATTTATGAAATCGAAGCAAAAAAACTCGGATTAGTGAAGTGATCAGACTTGTATATAAAATGTTAAATGTATTAAATACAAAAATAATGATTGGATAGGATAAATTTTAAATTACAAAAAAAGACAAAATGGTTAGTACATTTTTATTTAATTGACTTCTCAGATCTACATAAATTTGTAGACTATATTAAGCAGTTAAGACTTGTAATAAAATTAATCTTATTGTTATGCTTGTTTCCCTTTATTTAGAGAACTGTAAATAATTTATGTAATATATATATTTATATATAATCAGAAAATAGCTTGTTGACAATTGAACTTTTATTCACCTGTGACAAAAGGTTTGTATTTTCATATGAAGTCGAGGACATTACTGTTGTGTTTGCAATGTTCAAAAATATGAAATATGATTGTCATCAATTTACTTATTGATAGAATTCAATAAGATTAAAACAAAGATCATGTAACATGATGAAATATTTAATCCAACAATGAATGTTTTAACTTAATGGAGATCTTAACTTTAAACCTTCACACTACCCCTGTAAATGAAAGAAGACATACATAGTAAGGAGGGGGAATATTTAAAAAAACAAAAACATCCAATTGAATGGTTTGGCTGAATAAAGTTTACTAATTTATTGGTACTTAATTATTAAAATTGAACTTTATTAGAGAGTACTATTTTGTATATAAGTCCACTCTTGATGATTCAAAACCCAAGGGACCACAAAGGAAAGGAAAAATCAAACTATTAAGAATGGATGTCCATTTTGAAATTTCTTACTTAATTGTACATTTATAAAACAACAAAAATAATGAAAAAGTGTAAATAGATCAATTGTAAAATCGATCTTTATTATGCTTTTTTTAAATTTATTTTCATCTGCAACTGTAATATATTATCTACAACCAGCAGATTAGATTTCAATTTGTGATTGTGAGATTATGGGCATTACAGAGAAATCTACTCATTGGAAGCTGCTCTGATTCGGGATTAATAATGTCATTAATCAACTTTCGAGGTTTCTTAGGCCTTTTTCATAAGGGGCGGCTAGTTGAACAGAAGTGTCAAGGAGTGTCACCTGGGTAGCAAATGATGGGAACTGCCCAACCCCTTCACACGCAGTCAACTTGCCCACCCAGGCGAGTGGCCAGCTGGCACGATGCTGCTTACATTCTCATCCCTACTCGTTGACTCAACCCAAAAGACACTGCTCGACATTCATTGATCATCCTTCACACCAGTCGCTTAATTGAGTCAACTGGAAAGCATTGCAGTTGCAATTTCAATGTAGAGCAGTTCATTGAAGAAATTCTATTAGTCCCGCTATATGGGATATAAGATGTGAGTAGTAGCAACAAAATTAAAAGAAGCGAAGCTTGAAGGAAGTAGCACATTATTTGAGAGAAATTGTGTTTCCCAATTTTATAACGGATAAACCCAAACCCACACTTTTCTTTCCTGGTTTTTTTGCAGAAGAGCAAGCACAAAAAGTGTTCTTTCTTCCTTGGGTTCTAACATCTTACTGATCTCCTGTTGAGGTTGAAGTTGATTGGTGTGAAACCATCGGAGTCTTACACATCAGTAAACAAGTACAAGGGATGCCTTGATTCTATATTTTCGTATGGTAAAATAACAGAATAAATATTCTAAAGTTGATAGTGAATGCTCTTTTACAATTATTTGCAAATGTAAATTTTATAAGCAAATGTTTGCTTTTCTGTGTAGAAAAATAATATCCAATTAACAAAAAAAATGCAATAAGGTAAAAGGTATTTGTAGGTGCTTAAATTAAAATTCGACATTGTGAGAAAAAAAAATTATTTAGAGCTTAAATAATGTAATTTTCTTATATTTATACTATAAAAATATTATATAGGGAATTAAAAGTAATAAAAACAACAGATTAAATTAATGATTATGCATACAACTTTATTATGCATAACTTATATTATAAAACAACTAATAAAAAAATAACACGCAGTAAACAAAAAATCAACAAAATAATAAATATAACACAAATAACATTGAATTATATGTTATAAAACAAACAATTTAATAAAACAAGATGACAAACATTTACGATTATTTGGAGGTTGTGAGATTCTGTCTGGCGTAAACATATTTTCATTATGCAAAATTTATATAATGTAAAATTAAAAAATAAAAGTATAAAATTAATGGAATAAGTATATTATATACACATAAAGCACTACCTATATATGATTTAACAAAACTGTCAAAATTAGGAATGTCAAAAAAATATTACATGTTTTTCAATGTATAAAACTTACTAACTGAAGAAAAATAAAAGTATAAATTTTTGTAGTTACGAACAGTTGAAATAGTTTTGAGCATCATCTTGCATGTCATGGTCATTTTTGTATCTCACTGAGTTCAAAACCATCGTCATTTTCTAACATAGCACGAATTCCTTGATCAGTCATATTTTTCAAATCTTATACCATTTTATTTTATTTTTTTGCTCCATGCAGTTTCTTCTTTCTAAAAAAGCAAGGGACATCAAGAAGAAACGAGAAATGATAAAACGATAAACGTTCTAATAAAATTAGATAAAACATTTAAAATAGTTGAATGTTTAAAAACCATAACTTACATAAACAGAATAAATCAGTTACTTAAAAAAGTATTACCCATGCTATTATTTTTTCTATATTTTTACATACATACATAATTATAAATGTGTGATTTGTCGCAAATGAAAATTATGTCAATAATTGCTCATTCCCAGGATAAATGTTAAAAATATAGAACACAATTTAAGATAAAATAGATAATGGAAACAGCAAAAAGGCAATTTTTAGATAAGGAAAAAATACATAAGAGAAATTAATGAATAAATAAATAAATTTAAATAATTTTGAACTAATTTTTAAAGTTATTTGGGCATTTTTTTGAGTTGCTATAATGAAGAAGGCTGTATTACGAGAAAATTTAGCTTTATTTTTTTATAAAACTTAGCTTATTTTTAACAATCTGTGAAGTGAGGGTCACTTATTGAACTCTGCAGTAAAATGAAGGCGGTTGTAAGTGGATCCGAAAATGATGAACACAGGTTGAAAGCAGACACTCAGATAGATCTAAGTGTAGAAAACGCAGGGAATTCATAAAAACCCAGACCCACCATGACCAAACGAAAATAAAGACAGAGGCCAGCAGCCGCTGGATTCTGGGCTTGCAGTACTGAGCGCCAAGTGGCGCCCATTGAGCTGATAGTGGTAAAAATGAATCACTGTATAATGCCAATATAGAAATAAAACTATATCAATTTTAATTAATACTGCATGGTAAAATAACAGAATAAACATTCTAAATTTGATGATGTTCTTTTATTTAAAAATATGGAAACATGTTTTAAAAAGGAATACTGTATAATTCAAATATAGAAATAAAACTATATCAATTTTAATAGAATACCGTATGGTAAAATAACAGAATAAATATTCTAAAGTTGATAATGTTCTTTTATTTAAAAATACAAAACCATGTCTTAAAAATGAATCATTATATAATTCAAATTAATTAAATTGGGTTTGCTAGAATTTCCAATTTAAATTGATTATTGTAAACGCTCAGCTAAAATCAGAATAAGCCAAGTTGTGAAAATAAATATAGTACCAGGAATCGATTTCGATATTGCACTCTGAAGATAATCATCTGTAAGAGAAAATAAAAGGGTATTTAATAAATTAATTCCAATATAATATGAATTGATTATTTATGGCAAACTGCACTGTAAGCAGTTTTAGTTATTGTTATAACAGTGTGCTTAAAATTTTAAATAAAGGTATTATTCATAATGAGTTTTTCTTTTGCACAAGCTTAGGTTAAACTTACTTAGATTATGCATGCAATAATCATATCTCTATAAACATTTTTGAGTTATTTTAATATTTCAGACTTACCATCATCACAGTGATTAGGTTCAAATGTGTTTGATCCTGAATGTTAAAAAAATATATATATTGAATACAATATTTATCACAAACAGTTTCTAAATATACTGACGTGTAATCAGAACGTGGGCTTTCTGTTGATCGACTTCGCTCCAATTAAGACTCCGCTGAATTGCCATTTTCCACCTGGAGTAACGGTAGTCCCGTTCTGAAAAGGAACGATATTAAGACATGATTTATTTTTATAAACAAAAAAGGCATACCGTCGTCATTAATTTCTGGTAAGTATGTATCGACAGGAATGAACGAATGTAAATTTTTAAGATTCCAGACCTCGATACCTTTAGCAGCTCCTGCAGCCATTGCTGCTCCCAATGCAGTTGTTTCTAGCATTGAAGGTCTGACTAAAATGATCAGAATATGGAAATTTTTTAAATATTAAACAATAAAGTAGTAGTTGATACAGGTGCAGTCCTTTTCAGGTTAGCCTACTCTCGATATGTCAAAATTCAACGGACTGGGGAAAAAAGTGTCCGACTTATCAATTGTTAAATACATTTTATTTGTTCAAACTGGTTAAATGTGACCATCTATTAATTTCACTACTAATAAATACACTGTCCATAACTGTCCTATTTGTCTAGCTGAGTTTTGTTTTCACATTTTGTGACTAATGAAATGATAGGAAACATTGGCTGTTATACTAATAAAGAAATAGAGAATTCAATGCTCAAGTAGAATCGCTCTATTCATCACTTATGTGGCAACTCCAGATGGAACTGTTAAATTGTCTAAAAAGAATTTTTTTTTTATTCATGTAAGATTATCAATAAATTTTATTGTACAATAAAAATGACTATTGTGAACTTATGTGTGGTGATTAGTGACCGTTAATCGATAATTGTTCAGAAATCGTGAGATATGGTCTGGTGTGATGTAGGTTTCAGAAAAACATTTTCTTTATCGTGCCAATGTTTCGATCTTTATTGAGAACATCTTCAGGGCTCAAAGTGTTTGTCTTCTGTGTAATTGTGCCATTCTTGTGTGTCGTGTCGAGAGTGCCAGTGAGATTTTGCTATTTTGTGTTTATATACGTTGGATTTTGAAGGGGTGGGGAAGGATGTTGGTATAGAAAAGACATTTTGTATAAGGCGTCGGCTTCTTTGAGGTGAAAGGAGCCGACGAAGGGAAAAAATGTGTTGGTAATTGTTCGGCCAGATTATCCTTTCAGGATTGTATAGAAAGGGATAAATAGGAAAAGGAAAGCTGACTTGTCGGGAAATTAGACTATGTGAAAAATATTTGATGTGTGGAATGTAATGTGATGATATACGTATGTTATCTGTATTGAATTTGATTAATGGTATTGGCGTAGCTGCGACTGAGTTTACATGTATCTGTTCTGTAATTGATGCTGTATTTATCTCGGTTGATATAAACCATTTCTAAGAAATTATGTTTATATTTGTTTTGTTCTGTATGTAATATTTTTGGATTTTGAAGTCGAAATTGTGTTGGTGTTCAAAATGGTGGGTAGTGAGTGCTGTAGGATTTTGCTTGGGTTTTTTGCAATCATAGATATGTTGCTTTACTCTCTTGTCCAGATATTGGGATGTAAGACCGATGTAAGTTGCCAGACAGTTTAAACAGTTGATCTTGTAGATTACGTCAGATTTATTTGTTATTGGTGTGGGATCTTTAATTTTGGAAAAAAGTGTTTGAATTGTTTTATAATTTTTGAAAGCTATTTTGAAGTTATCAGACAAGAGAAATGTGTTTAATTTGTGTGATAGGCCTTGGATAAATGGTATGGAAATGTATGCTGGTTTGTTTGTATTCGATAGATTTAATGTAGTATTATTAGTAATAGTGGATGGTGTTAATGTTGAGTTGTAATTGTTGATTATTCTGTTAGCACAATTACACAGAAGACAAACACTTTGAGTGAGTAGAAATACTTTCATTGAATATATAAAATATATTTTGCATTGTTGTTGTTGTTGTTGTGTTGTTAAATTCACTTTTCCACATCCAAAATGTAACTGTAATATGTAAACAATGTTTGTAAATCCCAGGCTCTGAAGATGAGCTCAATAAAGATCGAAACATTGGCACGATAAAGAAAATGTTTTTCGGAAACCTACATCACACTAGACCGCATCTCACGATTTCTAAATAAATATCTATTAACGGTCACTAATCACCACAGTCAAAATTCTTAATCATGATTAAACAGTTAGATTTTGCCCAACTCTGGTGTATTTCATCTCTAACCACTGTACTGTTTGAGGGTCATTCTTAAATCAATTAAATACCAATATAATAATTAAATTTAAATAATGACCTAATATATATATGATATAGAATAACTTAGTCAACTTATCGTGAGTTGACTGTTTAAATATATTTTATTTGACTTTTAAGTAAGTATGAACATAAGTAAATTTAAAAATACTGACAATTAAACTTACTGACTGGGATTCCAACTATATCAGCTAGTTGCTGCATAAGGAAATCATTATTGGTCATACCACCATCGACTAAAAGCGTTTTTAAAGGTATGCCACAATCTTTGTTCATGGCTTCTAAAATATCACGAGTTTGAAAACACACGGCTTCAAGTGCTGCACGAATTATATTGGCTTTAGACGTTTCTTCTGTTATCCCACATATTACACTGAAATTAAGAGATATTTCAGATCATGATAAACAACAAATTAGAAATTATCGCACCTCCTTGCATCTTGCCTCCAGTACGGGGCATAGAGGCCAGAAAATGCCGGTACAAATACGACTTCACCGACAGGTGAAGCCATCTCTGCAATTTTTTTCGAGTCGGTTACTTTCTGTAGCAATTGCAGATTATCCCTCAACCATCGTAATGCAGCACCGGCAACTGCAATCGAACCTTCCAAAGCGTAAATTGTAGGTGCATCTGGACCCATTTTGTAACCGACTGTTGATAAGAGACCATGATTTGAAAAGACCAGCTGAAATTAAAAACAAAAAGGTTTTGAAAAATATACTGACAATTGATTAAAATACTTATTTTACATTTGTTCCTGTGTTATATAGAAGAAAACAACCAGTTCCGTAAGTATTTTTTGCCTGTCCCTGGGAGAGACACATCTGTCCAACCAAAGCCGCTTGCTGATCACCTAAACACTGTACAATTAAAGAATTAAAAAAATTAAATTAAACTAAATTGAGTGGGAAGCGCAAGGGTCTGTTTATTTTTATCTTTATTTAAATTTTAGAAACTGGAATTGTCTATTTTCTGGTACCTACTCCTGACAGAGGCGTCCCCTGAAGAACTGTACATGAGAAATAACTGTAAATCTCAGAACTTGATTTTATTTCTGCCAAACAAGACCGTTTTATGCCAAAAAACCTACAATTTTTAAAACATCAGTTTTCAAATATTTAAGAAGAGAAAAATAAATGGATTTGTTTAAAAACAAAACAAAAAACTGGTTCTGGTTCGGTTGTCATTAGCTGGTATGTAAAACTTACGATAGACAATAAGGGTCCCATTCAAGAGTTTTAATGTTCATCAACATTGTCCTTGAAGCATTGGTAACATCCGTGACAAACACTCCCCCATCGATACCGCCAGTCAAGTTCTGCAATAACCAAATAAAATGTATTCAACTTGAGAAAAAAGGACGTAAGCTTTTTAAATCAATTTACCCATATCAACCAGGAGTCCATTGTACCAAAATAACACCTATCTTCCTTATAAGCATTCTGAACCTCTTCTACATTGGTGAGCAACCATTTTATTTTAGTCGCACTGAAGTAAGTACTCACAGGCAGGCCACATACATTCTTCAGACATTCCTTGTTTTCTCCTTCCACATTTTTAAGCACTAAATCAACTGTCTCTGTTGTCCTCATGTCACACCAGACTGCATAAATTAACAATGAATACTCCTATCGCAAATGCAATAAGTAGGAGAAGGAATCACCAATTGCGTTATAAAGTGGCTTTCCAGTGTACTTATCCCAAGCTATCGTTGTCTCGCGTTGGTTCGTAATGCCAGTAGCGACAATATCAGCCGGATCGATTTCAAGAGCTTTCAGATTATCTACTGTCTGGTTGATGCACATTTCAGTCTTGCTTAAAATCTCGATGGGGTCCTGTTCAACCCATCCTTCCTGCTTGCTAATGTGGCGTATCTCTAGTTGGTGGTATGTGAGCACCTCTCCAGTCTTGGCCGCAAACACCTAAATAATAAAAACATCTTTAAGAGGAGAAATTTAGTTGCATAACAATTTTCCAAGTTTATAAGTTAACAATACATAGGCTGTTTCTATTAATTATCCATTCTGTCATCATTTGTAATAAAATGTCATTATTACTTCTACTATATGTCTTTATTCTTTAATATATACAAAGTTTACAATTGGGAAGTATCTATTTCAAAAGAAGAAAGACGTTTCTCATGATTTAAAACTATCTGAGGTAGTCTAGCACATAAATTGAAATAACTAAAATCTCCCTTCTGGCTATTTATAATTAGTATTTACAAAATGAATATTTACTTTCTTCAAAAATTACACGATAAATTTCAGTAATGTAATGATAAAACATAATTGAATGATAATATCAGAAATATAACTTGCAAATATATTCATCACTTATTTATGATTACCTATAATGCACATAAATCAATAAAATAAACCAAAATAAAGTAAATGGAACTAATAAAAGTCAAAATAAATAGTAATAAAGTACATTATATACTAAAAGAGATAATAGTTTAAAAAAATAAAATAATAATAAATGTTTATGATACTAATGGTGAATTGAGCAAAAACAAAGATTCATTGATACGTTCAGAAATGACTCAGCAGTCCCAGCCACAAGGACTGCTGAGTCATTTCCCACACACGATCTTCACAATGCATACAATAATTCTTAAAAATACATGATGTTGAGGATGAGCTTTTCATCTACTCAGGAGAATCTGCAAAGAGATGCCGCTTCCACCCTCCACCAAGTGTCTAATTCTGGCTCAAAAGGTGTGTTTCCATTGCACAAAAATCACTCGTGCAACTGTTTCGTGAAACTCGTCTAGTGTTGAGGATACCTAACCAAGACTGTGAAACTTTTGGCGCAAGGACATTTCAGGGTGAGCCAACCAATTGTCGGGTTTGTGCATCAAAGTGTTTCATGTTGTTTGTTTCTCTCTGAGTAAATGCACTTGTCTCGAGTAAGAGAACGGAGGGCTGCGTTTCACTTATCTGAATCAGCTACCGATTTTTGTGTGATGCTAAGGATAAATCAAAACAAGAACAAGAGAGAGGATGCGCGGAAGGAAAAAAAACATCAAAATGAGACAAAGACAAAAAGTACAACAAAAAGTATCACCATGATAGCAAACACTGATGCAGGAGTTGGTATAGTTATAAACAGCATACTTGTCTTACACAAATTGATGGCTCTAGGTTGCGAAGTGTTTTGCCTCGTGGAAATGGTTTACCCGATGTGGGGTTTTGTGAGTGGTTCTCACATTTAGTTGTGCGAATGATTTTTTTTATGCAATGGGAACCCAGCTTAAGAAAATAAGCCTCTTTACAGAAATTGACCAACTCAGTCTAATCCTTGCCATTAATATACTATAACAGAACCTTACTAGACAGAACTTTTCTACCAAAATATTGTTTCCTTAAGCAGCCAGTTCCAGGCAAGTCACCAAGAAATAGAATAAATCCTGTGTTAAGATGTTGTTGACCGTTCTTGCTGTGGAACTCCATAATGGTGTTTTTTATAAATAAATATAAGCCTTTTGTTCCAGCAGGTTTATTTACATGAAAAGCCTTTCAATTATTTCATAATCATCTTCAGCCTTAACTTTCAACCTTGTTATTTACATTTTTTCATGTAAAAATTTTTAAAAAAATTAATAATCTTTTTCATATAAAAAATTAATTTTTCATATATGAAAAAAATATAAATAACAAGGCTGTGAGTTAAGGGGCTGAAGATGATTACAAAATAATTGAAAAGCTTCCCATGTAAATAAATCTGCTGGAACTAAAGGCTTATATTTATTTATAAAAAACACCATTAAATCCTGTGTTAATTATTCGGTGAAACAGCAAACAATTAATAGTTATTTCTTTCCTTGCTCATCAAAAAATAAAAACAATGAAAACAACATGTTCAAACACTGTTATGTCTTCTATTTATTTTGAATAAACTTTTTTTTAAGTTCTGAATTGTATCTCAATTTTTGGCTTTTCTGGAACCAAACACCCACGAATGTTAAGGGATTACCGCATGTGAACAATATCCTTCCTACGAAGAAAATTTGTTTGCATCCCTCAACTTCTGGTAAAGGAAATGTTTCTTGACATTTATGGCAAAGTGCGAAGTATATACACCTCCTAATAGCATAGGAAAATAGACTCAACATTCGCGGGTTTAACATTCACGGCAATTTTCTGGAACCAAACACCTGTCAATGTTAAGGGATTACTGTATACTTGATTTAGCAAGCATAAATGCCTGGATACTGAATAAGGAATCCTGCTGTTTGAAGTGTTTGTAATTTAAGATAAACAGATCCCAACACCACTTAATTACACACTGTATACTATCAAAGGGTAATGAAAGATTTATGAAATAATTTGGAGATTTGAATAGAAGCTATCTTATGGTGTGGGAAGCTGTCTGAATTGGCCATATCTGTGCAACGTTGTGGATGGACTGTCTAATTAGCCACAAACCGCCCCACCACAATTCAATTCTGCCAATGTTGTTCTGGTCTAAGGGCAAGTCCTAGCTTAACTGCATGATATGCCTTTTTATTTCCTTAAAACAGTGTTTATCTACAATCTGCCTGGTAATAATCTTCGAGAGTCTATTATCGATGGGGATAAAATTCTGATTATGTAAGCATAGTGAAGTTTTATAGTGACAAATCGGCAGGAGATATGTCTCAGCATAAAGGAACGCTGTGGGGTGTACAGGGACAGCCTGAACAGCCTCCTGATGAAGAACCACTGAAGCCCCTTACCTGACCAAACATCTTTCCTCCCCAAACCTGAGCACCTGCATAAAATAGGCCTGGTGACTGTGTTAAATATTTTTAGCTTAGACAAGTATGCAATACATCTGTGCTTACCCACTGCTTCAAATGTCATTATTAATATATGTAGCTTTGCAAGCTGATAAAACGTATTATGCAAACCAAGTGTACAATATTTAAAATCATATATCCAAAGCAGAAAGTGAGAGTTGAAAACCTGGAAAAATATTTAAATGAACTGACCAAAAATCTGGTACTGCTAGTTCCCTCATCGATGGACCCAACCAAAGGTCCGTACTTTTTAGAAGACATTTTATTTTAGAATGTTATACGTTTTGAAGCCTGAATCGCTGTATACATCATTCATATATACAAAAACAGAATTGAAACTTTTCTAGTCCCGGAAGGCCGAAATACGGTTGCAGTTGCCACCCGACGGATGCGGGAAGAGTATCGATACTTTATCAATATCGGGATTTTGCCAGGGTACAATATCTACGCGACGCAATTTTCTACTCGATACTTTTATTCCGATGATTTGTATCATTCGATACTTAGGGTGAGGCATGGATATAAAATAATTTCAATCTAAAAAATGGGACAAATTTTGTGGTCAGAGAAAAGTAAGCAGACCGCCATTCTGCCTTAAAATTAAAAAAACGGAATAACACACTTATGATTTTTGAAGGCACTACTCCAATTTAGTACGACAGCCAAAGGAAAAAATATATATATTTGAAATAGTGCACAGGGAAATTGTATTTGGCTTTCTACTACCAAGTTTCCGTTTCTAATATTAAAAACTGATTTTTTTGGGGTGCAAGATAGAGTTGGGAAAACCGCTCTTTTTAAGGATAGGGTCAAAACTGCCCACTCATGAAATGAATCAGCTCTTTTTTCTTCTTGGATCACCAAATTTATCAAATTCACAATTCCATGGGTATTCTTTGTCCAATCTTAAAGGTCCATTAAAGGGTTGTTATATGAAAGAAATGACGAACCTTTCTCGTTTTTTATTATTACTAATAATAAATTTCAATGCAAATTTGTTTACTTACTTGATTTACTTTTTACTGATAAACCCCATTTGCACAAAAAGTTGCATTATGCTCTTTCATTCTGCTACGCCTAAATATCGCTTTCAATTAATATTTTTCCTTAGTTGTTTTCATTTGATATTATTCTTATTCATAAACCTTTTTCAATGACTCCAGCCAGTCATTTGAGTGTCATAATGTCACAATGTCAAGTTCATAATTTATTATAGGAAGGATACAGCCAACGCGAAATTGTCAGAAGGCTGAATGTAAATCACTCTACAATAGGATGATGGGTTCTTCGGCGCTTCAGAGATACAGGACTTCATACTAGGTCAGGACAGGGTCAATCTAGGTATATGGACAAGAGAGACGATAGATTCATCCGTTACCAAGCTCTACGAAACCGCAGCATTATGAGAAAGAATATAAGAAAAGTAAAAAATGTTTCGATTTCCTTCAGGACTGTAAGCAGAAGGCTCAATGAAAATAACCTCAGGACCCGGTACCCGGCTCGTGGACTTCTTAACCACAGCATAGAAAACGACCAGGGTTCATGGGAACATGTGAATTGGACACTAGAAGTTTGGGGACGAATTCTTTTTACAGATGAGGTGAGTTGGCCTGAAACCTTGAGGTGGGCGTAATTTGATATGGAAACGCTCAGGAGAAAGGTACGCGCCCATGCTGTATGGTTCTTTAGGTGGCATTCCATGGTGAGTCATAGATATTCTGGGATGGCATTTCCTTGGACGCCCGCACAGAACTGGTTGTCGTATGAACGTGCGAACAAGATCTCCAACTTCACACAGGTGCTTACAAGACATAATCGAAGAACATGTAATGCCGTTTGCCCCCCCCCCCCCCCAACGATGAGAAATTCTTGCTAATGCAAGATAAGGCAGTCCCCAGAGAGCATATTGTGGATGACTATCTAAACGATGTTGAAATTGAGTGCTTGGTGTCACCTGCTCAAAGTACTGATTTGAACCCAATCGAACACATTTGGGACTAACTTAAGTGACCGGTACGACGAAAAAGCCCAGGTCCTAACACCCTAGAAGAGTTGGAAACGGCTGTTCTTGATGAATAGGAAAGAATTCGTTTTCAAGAAATGCAAAGGCATTTCACGGATGTGATTCATGCCAGAAGTAGAAATACGTGTTTTTTCCAATTTTTAATAAACATTTTCTTTTTAAATGTCTTATTTTTGTTATGCAAAATAAGAATAAACCTAAATAAATTAAAATTTAAGAGTAGTGCAATAATTTTGTCCATCGGAGTATATAATCAACCATATAAATAATAACAAATAATTATTTTTATGTATACTAATATTATAAAGAGAGATATTTAATAATACTTTTAATACATTATTATATCATGAAGTACCACAATACTATAGACGAATTATTCCAACATAAAAAAGAAAAAAAAATGCGCTTGTACGAATTATAACATTCACCCAAATCAATCAGTGTTTCTATCTCAGAATTCGCTCAGCATATTCGTGGGTCTGTTTCTTTAGTATTTGCACACGATAGACAGTGAAATATAGTTGATCGAGTAGCTTTCAAGAAAACGGTCTTTTTGTTGATGATGATGTGAATTGGGAAAATACCCTTAGGGATTTCTCAATCGGACTTTCAATTGAGAGAATGATTTGTATTCCCTGTTACACTATCTTTCGTTTTAACAATTGAGGACAAACGAATAAAGATGTGGGGTTAGATTAGTCAGAAGAATGTTTCTTACACGGAAAATTATACTTCAGTGTATCAAGAAACAAATCAATAAATAAAGTTTTTGTACAACTAACAAATTTTCAATTAATTATGCAAATTTTCATACTAGAAAGAGAGAAAGTTGGTTTGTATGTAAGAGATTATTTCCAAATATTTTGTATATATTTAGGTTTTAATGATTTTTTTAAAGATAATATAGACATAATTTTATTATTGCAATATCAAGAAAATATACTAAATTTTGTATGTTAGATCTGAGACCAATTGTATTTTGCGGTCGGTATTAATTAATTGTGCTGTTGTAGATAGAAATAAATGACATTATTGTTTTTGGATTTCATCTGACTCTCCTTCTCTCACGAGGACAGACTTCGGGTTTATTTAAATTGAAAATCGGTCGAGAAAATCGATTTTATCCGGCCGGAAAAGACGTTTGATAAAATTTTAACAAAAGACTATAAATAGTTGACAACTTCGATGTTGGGGCGCGTGTCTCGGCCGGAATGGCGGCGTTTCTTAGTTACGGAAAAAGCAAACAACCCTTGCAAATAAGTGCTTGAGAGAGTTGAGCGTCACTTCAATCTTTGTCCTCACTCCTCATTCCTCAAGACGTCTCTTTTGGTTGATGGCAGAGCTCTACATAATTGGCCAGATCGTCGGTGCTAAAAATTTCAGAAGAAAGAGCCTCTTCTGCAAATGGGGGATTCACACAGGTAAGTTTCTACTGTAATGCTCCTGGTTCACAACTCCGGCCTTTTTCTACAGCGGAAATATTTAATCGACCGAAACCCTTAAATAATTGCATTTATATTAAGGAATTATCAAAAATATACGTTTAATCAGAGGCAGAGGCACAATAAAAAAATCGTATTTTGCATCGCATCGTACGTATTATGTAAATATTGAAAATAAAGGTCACAATTGTTCATGTATGGATTTTTGTTAAATTGTATTTTATTTAATGACAAATCAGTAGAAAACGTGTTAACAACTTGTTTTGTACATAACTACGAGGCTTTTCAACCTCTGAGATCACACTAACAATAACTTGGGAAACAAAGGAAAATTCGTTCTTTTAAAGGTATTGGTTGTATTGTGAAATTTCTTCTTGAAGTTTGCATTGATAATACCTTGGTTGTTTTCAATGAGATGTTTACTGACTAAAATGATCAGTTAAATTATCTTTCTACACAGTAAAGTTATGTAATTCCTGTAATATAGGAGGACATAACGTCCAACTTCCCGTTGACTCTAGATTTGGATTCAAAACCATTTTACAATATTTTTTGTGTGCAATTTATTCTCAAATCCTGACCAAGGGCTATGCTGGGGTTTATAGTTTCAATGTATCGACCACTTTTCACTCACAAACACTGGATCAAGGTATGGTCAGAAAAAAGTGAATGCATTTGTTACTGCCAAGTTTTCGACATATTTTAAGGTCATCATCAGGGCAAAACAATGTTAAATATCTCTATAGATTAACATATTTAAATTTTTTACCAGCGATCTCATATTTCTTTGAAGACCTACAATGTGAAGTACTATTAGGCAATATTGTATAATAAGCTGTATGGGGCTGCAGTTGTCAGGCGGAAATTCTCCAGTTCCTGGTATCCATTACAATTAAATAAATAAATAAAATAAATAGATTAATTAATTTATAAAAAATTATTTATTAATATTTTTACCTGGTACTTGGTAATTGAACATACTAGACTAAGCAAAAACTTTGTAATGTGTCACCATGATCATCATCCAAGGTTTAAATAAGTTCTTAAATAATCTAAAGAAAAAAGATCTTTTTTGTGGACATTACATTTGTCAAAATGAACTATATGAGTCAGTAAGATGGAGCACAGGCAGCCGAAGGTCTTGGCACACGTTAAAAACATTGAGTAACGAAACAAAAGTACAGATTTAATATGAACCCTCCCTATAATTTCATTAGTCACTTATATGTTAAAAGGTGTACCTCCAAAGTACTATGTCTACTAGCTGACATAGCTAGATACAAGGGAACCATACTATAAATATGTAATAAGTGGTTTTTATCTAAGTCTGAATACAAAAACTGAATATGTAGTAAAACTTTTGTCAATGTGGCAATATGGATGTTCACTTTGAGGGGAGCTAGCAACACCGAATAAGCCGGATAAAGGATACAAGTACATATCCAATGATAAAAAGTTATAAAATTAATGACTCCACTTTTCTACAAATCTTCGTCCAAATCCTAACATGACTGAGCTAGCATAAATGACAAGTGATGTTTATGTGTCATGCTGTTATGTAATGCTGAAAGTTTTGGAATAAAATAAGCAGCATCGGAGCTTTGTTCTTCGAAGTGTTTAACAATTAATTGCAAAAGGATCTTAAAAACATAAAAACATTTTTTCCCTTCCTTAGCGGGTTGCATTCATAGCCTGATATTTTAAACATTCCTGATTTGTATAATTTAATATGATATAGTTTTAGCTAGCGGAAAAGACTACGGAATATCAAATTTGGCTTAGAAAGAGAAGGTTAACAGTCACAAATTTATGGGTAAACTGATGAATGTGTTAAACTTTTTTTTAAAGGTCCTGGCTGGCAGTTGATTTCAGGACAGAAGGAAGGCCAAACTCAAGTTGATAACCCAGGTTATGATGAGATGACGTATTGGTGTCATCCAATTGATGTCCACTTTGCTACTAAAGGAATCCCTGGTAAAACTGGCATTACATCACATCCATTTTGGAAAATAATTTAATGTAATTCTAGGCTGGCCAAAAATATACTTACAGATTTTCCATTACGACGAATTCGGGCGGAGTGAAGTTTGTGGGTACGGGTACTCATTCATCCCAACGACTCCTGGCTGTCATTCGATTTCTTGCCCGACCTGGAAGCCTCTGGGTTTGTTCATTAATTTTTCTTAGCTTGCACCACATTGATGGTGAACGTTCATTTAATTCACTTATTTAATAATTAATTGGTAGTTATATTCCTCATTTTAAAAGGGAAAAGACTTGTTTAATAACTTTTTTGACAAATATAAATTCTTACAATTCAAATTCTTCATCATATTACATGGTGATTTTTTTTTAAACAAAAAACTTGGTAATTTGGAACATCATGAATCATGAGCATCACATGAAACTATAAGGGCAATTGTTTACAATGTAAATTATTTTACTTAATGGTACTGATTTGTAATTTAATTAAAACATTTTAATTAAAAATAAATTAATAAAAATTAGTTAAATAAAACGATTTTGAAATGCTTTTCTACTATTAATTTTCTAATTTATTATGCTTTTAGGAAAGTTGTATGATAAATTTTCTGAGTTCTTCATTGGCGGCGGCCCTCAGCTGAGAAACCCTGATATTATTTTTAATGGGTTAGACAGGTTCAGGCTAAGCACAGAACCAATGGGTATTGTTGACTTAGAATTCAACTTGATTCAGAAGAACTTCCAAAAGTATGGAGTGGAAACTTATTGAATACTGAAAAACACAATAGCTCAACTCAAAGACTGAACTTGCTATTCGAGATGTTTCCAAACCCGATTATAACCGCTATGGTTTTCATAGTTATTAAGTTTGTCTGTTGTTATAATGTCACGACAACCGTAGATTTAAGCAACATATGTGACAATTCTACTGAAAATTGTTTAACAACAGAAATTAACGAAGAGACTGCAAGTGTAAAAATGTCAACGATGGTTATGCTTCAAAGCACAACCGATACACCCAAAACAACTGAAATACCCAAGAAAGAGAAAGAAATGCATAAAATGTCTTCTGATTGTTTATGCGATTTAACTGTGGGTTTTTAAAATTAATTTTTACCTTGAGACTGTAACTGATTTTGTTATTTATATTTCAGAGCGAAAAATGTGATATAAACTGCTGTTGCGATGTTGACTGCAGTGAGTCCGACCACACAACATTTGCCTTTTGTTCACCTGACTCAACATATCCCGTGCAACACTCGGGCCTATGCTTCTCACATCAATACATATATAAGAACAATACAAGATACAAAATTAAGAAGAACGATAATGGAATCTTCTGCATTTCTAAGGACAATTTTCCTGATAGATTACATTTTGTTAACCAAAAGGTATGTTTACAATGAATGGTAAAAATGGTTACGATGTAGTGAGTATATCAATTTTTGTTTAATAATATGTGTATTCATCTTCTTTGAAATTTAACGACTGGCGTGTTAATTGAATAATTTGACTTGTTCATTGATGATGATAATAATGGATACTAGGAAGCGGGGTTTAGTTCCCCAGGTACTGCAGCCTTCTTCCTTATTGCACCTTGCTAGTTCCCTCTTCTCAGAAGTTAGGTCAATTAAGTTAAGTCAAGTTAAGTCAATTAGATCATTGACTGACACTGGTACAATTTCATTCCCTGGGTGTTTTTGTTGGGTTATGTCCTCCGTTGAACTGTTGCTTTACATTCGAAGATGACGTGAGTGGCTGTTTCTTCATGCATAATCTGCTAATGGATCATTGTTGAATATGATTTTGTTATTTAGATGTTTTCTCACATGCCAGTGTCAGGTTAATAGTCCTATCTATCACTCCTCTAAGTCTGGCCCTCTCTGATTGCAGCAGTGAGTTTGCCAGTCTTGGTGAGAGTTGTTTTAGCATAAGTTTACTGTGTCTAGCGACCTTCTCCTTTTGTAGTTTTTGGATCCATTCTGTGATGGAAGATTGTTTTTGTTAACCAAAGTATAGCTTCAGGGCCTACATATGGCCTTGCAGATCCTCCTCTGGCCAGTGTGTCTGCTTTTTCGTTAACCAAAATTACTTTGTGTCCTGGCACACAAGATGTCATCAAGTTGTGTTTTGGAAATTTTGGATGAATCTAGTAGCTAGTTTTGATGTGATTTTAGAAGTCCTCCTTTATAGTCTGTTGAGACCTTATAGGATGTTTTAAAGAATGTTTCCAGATGTTTTATTTTTGTCCTCCTTGTGATCCATAGGTTATTTTGGGCGTTATTTCTGCCATTTATAGCCAGTGGGGAATTTTTTGCTTTAGTTCCCAACTTGTTCATTATTTACCTTAATATAAATAGTGGTATTTTTTGTACTCGAGGGTGTAATTTATTTGTTTTATAAGATATCAAAACGGTTTTCTTGATTTCAGATAATAAGCTCCAATGAAAGATTTTCCAAAGTTTGGGGTAGAGCGAAACATTTTACATGGGCTCGATCTAACGAAGAACCAGATTTTAAATTTGACAACACTACCAATTATAAGTATGGGTCATTACTTTGGAAATTAGACAACTTGACAAATGAATTGAGTGTTCTTAGTAAGTTTTACATAAACGAGCTTAAAAGGATTGAATTTTTATTTAGATTTATTTCTTTTTCAGAGGTGCCAATACAAGTAACTTCAAACTTTTGTTCTGGAACAAGAACAGTCGGTTACCTTGAAAATTTTAATGTTAATTGCCTACAAAAGCCACCAAAGGATAAAACCAGTTGTGAGAACCTATTTAATTTTAATGCTCAATTTTTTTGCAACAACTTAAAATTAGTCGGTAACCCGACAAGTTTCAACAACAGATCGATTGATGAGGTAATTTTTGTTTTTTCATTTCAGTATTTTTTTTAAAAACTTTTGTAATGTTAATTTTAGGATATAGTTGAAGCATTGGTTCAAGTGAAACCATTCATTTGTACTAAATTTGGCAATTGCTTAGAAGTTCCTTCTCTCGAAGCCCCTTTTTACAACGAATCTTCCCAGACTTGCATTAATACATTGAAAAGTGTTACCCTCCTCCTGTACCACAATGGTTCTGGTGGTTTACAGGAAGGAGAATGTTTTGTATCACTTCATGATGTAAACATTCTGAGCGAGCCTTTTCAACAATACTTTCAAGTTCAGTACAAATGGGTAAAGGACGAGTCGAATGTATTTCACAGAAGTGGAACACCAGGATATATTGTGGGGAAGCCGTTGATAAGTGGAAGGAAAGCCATCAAGTCCAACAAAGAAGTGACGATTTTCAGTAAAGACCAAAAAGACTGGATCAGCTTAGCAAAAAGTGATTCTAGAGGAGGATGCCTAGAGAAAACAAACATACTGTTTGGGGAAAACTTGCAAACGAAATGCTATTTTTATTTCAATGAAAACAGACTCAACAAAATAAGAAACTGTTCTATATTACATAGTGAGGTAATTAAGTTTAACTTAAGATATTACATAAATAACGTAATTATTGACATTAATTGGGACAAGGTTGATTTTTATGTGTTTTCAAATATTTTTTCTTAAAAATTTGTAAAGCAAGGAAACATGAATTTTTCTTTCAATTTCAGATATGGACAATTCTAATGGGGGATGTGAAAGTGAATGTGAGTGATACACAAATATTGGATACATTAATTGCCAGCTTTGGTGACCCACTGCCAGATTACCAAGAAAATTGGGTCCCCGTGCATATCAAAAATTCCAACAGTGACTTCAATAGCATCTTTGCACCTTGCAGAAGTCTGCTGAGTGGAGTCAAGTACCAGTTTATCTATTCATATTTCGGCCCATTCTCCAATCCCCAGGCTAAAATAATCGGCGCCACAGTCGAGTTTCTGATGGACAAAGCATCCTGCTCTTCTCAAAACTGCCAGTTAAAATTGACTTCAGCAGTCAACTATATCGACGTTTCCCGAAACGCGGTCAATAAGTTTGCAAAAGCACCTGTTGTTAAAATTAAGTTACCACAAGATTTTTTTTACCCATTTTCTTCTAAATGTATTAAAAGCACATTCTCACCTTTTTTAATTATCACAATTGTTTTAAGATTCTTATTTTAAACATTTAAAGAATAAAATATTTAGTTTCTTCTCTTGTGACAAAAATTCTAATGTGCCTTACAAAAATGTAAAATGTTGTACATTTTAAATTAGAATGTAATAAATAAAATTGTCATATTTTCATACTGGGTATCTTAAATTGGGTAAAAGTTAATTGTAACATGTCCCATAAGCTCAAGCCATTTGAAAATACTAGTTTATAATTTTGTAAAAATAATAATTTTTATCTTGCAATTTAGTTTTATTTCATTATTGTGTTAATACAACAAAATAACTGCAAATAATATTTTTTACATGTGTTCACAAATAATTTTAGCAATGTTGATTCAAACAGCTAGCTGTAGGTTTTTTTCTTTGTCATTTGATAAACATACACAAATATATTATGTTTGTCATAATTTTAATTGTTCAGCATCCATTTGCCTAAATAACTTTTTCTTGCTGTCAATAGCTAGGTCAATTCAGCACCCAATGCATTCAGTTCCGAAGCCATTCTACTCATATTCTTTCTTAAATACATCTCTCCTATTTACACTACTAATAATTCATTCATTTAGGGTACATGAAGTACTCAATATTCCTTTAACACTCTTGACACATACATTTACCTAATCGAGGGTCAATGGGCCCTCAATATTCTGCCATAGACTCTCTTGCATCACACATTCACACTAATAAATACATTCACTCTCAGCAAACCAGGTATGCATAACTATTATTACTATATATAATAACAACCCTGTTTCCTCCAAGAATCAGAACAGGGACTCAAAATAATCGCTGCCGGGCTCAAGCACAATTCTCAGATCACGTGGCATTTCTGCGTGTTCTATAGTCTCTGTATGGAGCCAAGGAATTGCACCTTTTAATCAAGTGGGACACATCGAGCAGCCTTCTTCTGCATGCCGGACACACAAGCAGGCTTTGGCTCAAAAGTAAGTGTCTATGTGTCATCCTTGCATGGCCTTAATCATGAGAATGGCCCTTCTTCTACAAGTCATATCTTCCGACGGCCACAGCATCGACAGTGCTTCATACATGATAAATCACTTATTTATATTATAATTGTCCAAAAACTGGGAAAACTATCCTGTTTAACACTAGTGAACTAATTCTTGTTTCTTTTTAAACCAAAAAAATTTTTTTTTAAAGGTAAATCTGATAACGTGTTCCATTAGAAAAAGCTTATTCATTATTATCTTCATTCCTCAAAATTTTTATAATGAGGAATAATAAGGATGATAATAGGATAATTCACATTTATCCTATTTAATTTTAAAATGTGAAGTACATTTTTTTTTGCTTTGTGTCACTACATATAGCCACGGGTAACATTGAATTTAATAGAACATTTGAGATGCATATTTGTGGGAAAAATTTTTTGTTGTCCTTTTTTGTATAGATGACAATTATTCTTTTATGTGCTTTTCTAAGGTAGACTAAACAAATAAAAAATTTTCTTCAATTCTTAACTTCACTAATTTCGTGGTCCGCTTGACCAATTAATATATTACAATTAAGGTTTTTTGGTTGAGAAAAAAATGGCACGAGCGGGATTCGAACCAACGATCTTCGGCTAGATACGCCGCTGCACTACCACTTGAGCTATCGTGACCTCGATCCACTCGGACACTAACTTCCCATCTCAAGAAGATCGTGGGTTCGAACCCCGCTCGTGCCATTGACTTTTTTATCTCAACCAAAAAACCTTAATTAATTGTAATATATTAATTGGTCAAGTGGACCACGAAATTAGTGAATTTAATGATTGAAAATGAAGTATACTTCACTAAAGCTCTCCGTGGCCATTTCATTTGTCGTCGAGAATCCAATCCGATTACACGACATTTGAAAAAATGGCAAAAAGGAGGGAAAATTCAAAAGGTGGTGTTGAGATGGGAAGTTAGTTTCCAAGTGGATCGAGGTCACGATAGCTCAAGTGGTTAGAGCAGCGGTGTATCTAGCCGAAGATCGTGGGTTCGAATCCCGCTTGTGCCATTGACTTTTTTATCTCAACCAAAAAACCTTAATTAATTGTAATTTTCTTCTATGTTTTGGCAATGTGCTAATTTCGAGAAATTTATTTCTTGAAACATTTTAAATACTTAACTCTACCTTAAAAAAACAAAAAATAAAAGCATAATTTTTATCTATAAAAAAAAAATCTCATAAATATATTGAAAAAAGTTGGAAAGGCTCTTATTACCAGGTAACTAGAAAAGTTGTGCTGTTTTTCAGTTGCTAGTATTTTAATACCGTCAATAAGCAATTCTACATCACATAATACCAAGAGGATGCTTCAATTCATTAATTGAGTGTCTTCTTGACCAGTTCACTGAGAATTATAAACTTCTTTCTTTCTCTTGGCTTCAAAACCGACATTTCATATGTGATTATTGTATGAATTTATGCTTGGTGATAGGGTGGGTGAGTCAGCTCTTAAAATTTGCAGTTTTCGGTGATGAAACAATAAGTTAGTGCACTGGCAAAAGTGGTTATTCTGTTTTGTCCTGAGGATGCAGATTTGTCTCTTAAAGCTATATGTCCAATTCATAGATTTAATTTTTTTTAAATGTTTAAAACCTAATGTTACTGCATATTAATTATGATAAATTAAACTTACCATTGCAATAAACCAAGCAATATCAATTGCTTTCAACTAACAAATAAAAATTTTATCACTTGGATGGCATATTTTGATTTCAACATCATTTTTTTGTCCTAAAAAGTGACCAATTGAGGACTAACAAAGAACAGTACAGATTTTTTGCAATCTTTCTTGAGGACGTTTATTTAAACAATTAATAAAATAATTGACATTTATACATGACTTTTTTTAAATGTCACAATCAGAATAAAAATCTGATGGTTGCTATATGATGAACCAATATAGTCGTATTTTTTATTTTAAGAAAGACTTAGGAGAAAGTATGAAAATTGACCTTGGTATAGTCAACATGTGCATTTATTGGAAAAAAGAAAGAATGAGAACCTTATTTCTTCTAACACATTCATTTTAATTTTGTGTCATTACTTAAACAATTTTCATGAAATTATAGAAGTATTAAGAACGAAGGATATTTGCTATTTAAAATTTAGACCCTTAACCAACACCCGTAACAGATAAAAGATCAATTTTCTTGATTGATCTTATATAAAAATGTAATATGAATCACTTGTCAGTTCCTGGAAAGGTATGTTGTTTGCTTTTAACAAGAAATAATTTTTATTAATTAAAATATATTTGTTTATTGCAAGCATGATTCATTTATCAACATAGCAAAACTATAATGTAAAACAATAACACAAACAAAACAAAAAAGAAAATGCAAACAATTGTTTAACTAGTTAGCTTTTAGAAATTACATATAATTAATATTTTTGGTATAGAACAAAATATACAAAATAAATATCACAATGAGTCAATGCCACTATATTAACATTGAATAATTATAGTTGTCATAAAAACATTAATCACCGAAGTACATGTCTTTTTATTTTTATAGGTAATTGTTAAAAGTAATTGTTTGTTTATCTGGTTATTAAATCACAGTTACATACGCAAATTTTAAAGAAATTTTGTACAAATATGATGAAGAAACGGATCGCTATTATTTGGCACAAGATTATCCATTATCAAAATGGATGACCGATTTAGTTTTTTTCTTCAGTACATTAAATAAAATTTTTATAATTGGAAACTCTAAATCTGTTTTCACATTCTGTAGAAATACACACTTCATTCATAGTTTGTTTTATTTAGATTACCACTCCTTAATTAAAGCATAATTTAAATTATGCCTTTTATAATTTGTTTTGAAAAGAAACAGAATTGTTAGGCACTTTTGTGAGATGAATTTGACTATTTTCCACTGATTGCAATTATAAGTTTATTTAAATTTGAGTTCCAATTAAAAATTTAAGTACTCTCTTTATAAAATCGACCAGGACTATACGTATGAATACACTAATATATAAAGTCTTAGCCCCTTTCTTTTATCACAAAATAAATTAATTGTATCAGTTGTGAAATATCCCTTAGTACTATGAATTTTATATAATAAGGGAAGACAATAAGCATTGATCTCAATTTCTATTAATTTGGTTTTCTTTAAAAGAAATTAATTCCAGGGTGCCTAGCTTCTGCTCACATTCTCGTTCAGAACTTAAACTTCTGCCTAGGGGAAAAAAAAGAAAGAAAAATAAATTATATATAAATACATACAAAAACAAACACACAAAAATAAAATAAATAAATAATACAGAATAAAATAAAATGGTGTGCTGATTATTTTAACAAGAAATCAACCAAGATTTAAATTTCACCATAATTATACTTTTTAATGAAATATTTTCTAGAGCAGATAGGGCAAGTTATTCTTCGCTCGATAAACACATTAAACATTAAAATATATAAATAATTGTTCCTTCTCTGAAACTGATGTTGAAATTTTATTGCTTAAGTAAAATATGGTATTTTAACAAAGTACTACTTATTTCCTTGTCCTTCTACACTTATATCTTGAATTATTTAATTTTAAGGCTGAAATTTTATTTTCCATTTTATTATTAGAATATTTTGTTAAAAAAAATTCTCAATTGTTAGGAAATATATTTTTTGCAAAAGATGATCGGCAGTTGCTTTATTTGCTACAAATTTTATTTGAATGATGGATTAAGAAAGTGATCAAAGAGATAATGAAGATGAAAATTAATGATAATTAAAAAAAAAAATTAACACCTACAAAATTAACCTGCAATTGTTGCCAGACACCCTTTTAAGATGGTTCAAACTGCCAATTTATCAGCTCAATATAAATGCATTTCATTTCTTACTTCACATTATGATACAATCGAATTTAGAAAATATCCTCCACAACCACATTTCAGATAAAACGTTTTATACAATGGAAGAATGAGCAATTCGAGCAGTTAAAAAAACAGTCATTTTTCTTTTTAATAATTCATTTAGTCAGAAAACAATGATTGGAAAAGTGTAACTAAATTTCTGTCTCTGTGCGGAAACCTGATTTTTTAGCGTGCACAACAGGCTCATCACTACTGGAATGGCTAGAACCTGATCTTGACCTGGAGGTGTGCACAAGTGGATCAGAATTTTTACCTCTGTATAAAACTGGAGTGTAAGGGTCAACAACATTGTCCAATAAAATATTGTTCGAACCTACCTGCATACGGACTGAACAATGCCTAGGACCGGTGATTCGTTGCTCACTTTCATTAGTTTTATTTAATGGCCTATCGAAACTAATTAAATCACTATCCATGCTATTCTCCAGTCGTGGAGTCTGTGTGTTTTCCATTTTACTCTGCCAACTCAATGAACTACATTCACTTGTTGCACTGTTTATTGATGAATTCTCCGTTGAGTCAATGTTGACGAGGATGCCTTCTGTGACTCCTACCGGTGATTTTCTTCCCCTGAGGTCGGTCGCCGTTTCCGATTCATTTTCCCAGTTGTCAGAATAGTTATTCAGCTTGGAATTCCTGTTGGCTGAAAGAAGCGAACAATCAGAGGTAGCGAATTTGTCCTTTTCTACCGACCTCGCTCGCACACCGATACTGTTACTTGTTAGAATTAATTTATTTGATTTGATAAAAGGCAAGACGGCAGTGCTGATGCTCTTATTAGGTGGATCGCCGAGAGTTTGTGTTGATTTTGTGCTTTTATGTTTAGAGCAAGTGCAAGTATCACAATGCTTTGTTTGCGAACGCTCCTTTTCTCTTTCTTCTAACACTTTAGCCATTATTGCCGCCGAAACTATATCAACAGGCTGATGGTTTGATTTTTCCTCTGCGTTTACATCTTTTTCTAAAATAATAACAAAATCACTAACTAGTAATACTAAGGTCAAATAATTATTAAATAAATCATTATTATTGTATCAAATCATTGTTTTTAGACCGTTTTTCTACATAAAATTGAATGTTTGTATATGTGTTGATGGTAAAAATGAAAACTATTGAATCAATATCAATGAAACTTTCACACTTTGTTTTTATTAGTGTCAGGTGGGTTTAGAGACTAAAATGGGCAATATAACAAATAACGGGTGTCAGGATTTACAAAATACAAAAATAACACTTTTTATTATCTCCCTAGGCAATGCTGGGTTAAAAAGCTAGTTTTAAATAAAGGTGGATGGGTAAATTTAACACTTATTTGTTCTGCCATGTTTCTGTTTGCAATCCTGTGCTATATTCCTAGGCAACCATTGACATGTTGGCTGTTGGTATTCTGCTAGTTTTGCTTTTAGCATTATTTTTATATAATTTCAAGAAATATAATTGTATAAATATGGGTTAGAGTGCCATAACATTGCAGCGTAAAAAGTTCTAATTGAATAATTAATGCACCTTCTGAATATATGGCCTAACAACAATGATTTAATATAACTGATCCACAAAGGAATAAGAAGGATAATAAAAAATATTTTTTATTTTTATTTTTAAAGACTGGTTTATAAGGCAGGTCATTTTGTTATTAAATGATGCAACTTTAATTCACGAAAAAAGTTATTTCGTTAACTAATAGAAAACAACGTGCCTTCTTAAATGGCCTATAAAAATATATATATGTAATAACAATAATCCATAATGTATTAAATAAATGAAGAAAATAAAACCAAAATTATTAATAATACACAGTTATGCATTTTATATGTAAATTAATTAATTTTTGGTTTTTATCATCATTTCTTAACACGTTAAATGCAGTTGACAGGGGGTGTCATTGGCCACAACAGTTAAGGCGTTGACACACCGCTAAAGGTCCCGGGTTCGAATCCAGCGGCTCTGTCATAATTACAATTTTTTTTTTTAACAAACCCTTTTTGCTCAGTCTATGGGTTGACAAAGTGTTGACATGGATGTTATTATTTAACAGTAATTAAATCTACAGGGTGTTTGGGCCAAATTGGACCGCAGTAAATGTGTGAATTAGAGATTAAATAAAAAAATAATTTATTGAAAAGGTTTGCAAATAATTAAATATATATGCACAAACACACACATTTTTATGGCCTTATGACCTTTGCATATTAGCCAAGGAGGGAAGGGTCATGTTGAAAATGGGCCAGAAGCGATAGTGAGAATTGAACCCATGACTGAGGTCAAGAGCCAAGTCCATTTTAAAAATATTTATAATGCTTATATATGCAAAAGTAACTATTAATTACATTTTTTTTATTTCCTTCTTCTTCAACATAAACATATAGTTGTATGATATAATATATACTTTTTGTCTACTTTTATGGTCGTTTCATATGTTGTCAATAATAATTTATTTAAAACGTGTGTACTTTCTTGTATGAATGCTTTTTTTTTCTTCTGGATACCAGGGACTGGGAGGAGTTCCCTCCTGATCAGCTGTACAGCTTATTGTACTTTATCCCTGGCTCCATATTTTGGGGGGAGGGCTCGCAACACAAATGTGAACTTCAGCCCCCGTTGTAGCGGTGTTCTTCCATCGAAGAAACTCATTTTTGAAGGGAGTTGGGACCAAATTCAGGGTCGCTGAGATCCGATCCCGCCCCTTCCATTGATGAGTGCCGTGTCAATTTCTTTCAATTGCGGCCACCGGTCCCCTTAGGCGTCAGAAAAGTCCAGGGGCGATGGTGGGGATCGAGTCTGACGCCTTAACCACTCGGCTACCGCGGCCTCCCTGTATGAATGCTTTCTGCAAATAATTCTGGATAATCTGTCTTTTAGAATTTTTATTAATCCCCTGATAAGTATTAAAGTGCGAACTTAATTCTTATTCTGAGATAATTAGTGTAGTGATGAAATAAAATAGTTGCATTACTACAAATAATAAAGTGTCGCTGTTTGGCATAAACCCACATAAGTACTATCTTTCTACTTGTTATAATTGATGCGTAAGAAGTGACAAATCAAAAGGTTTTATTCACCTATAGTTCCTTTGTTTACAGAGTAAACCATTGCTGTTGGAGGGTAAGTGGGTATCGGTACTTTAATGGTTTTCATTTCTGCTTTGGGAGGAATATTCCCATTCCCATCAGATTGTCTCCTCTTACTTGAGATATAAGTCCTCACTTTTTGCTGCATCTCACTTGGCAACTTCAAAAAAAATTTAAATGAATAACATAAATATCCACAAACATTTGAATTTATAGAAACCTAGCTTTAATTAATAACATATATATACCACAAAAAATTAATTACTCACAGAGTCATATTTTTGAGAAACAAAATTCGAAGGTTTGCACTGGAGTAACTGTATTGCTAAATTTACATCGTTTCGGTACCTCTCCTGTTAACAAATTTAATATTTCAACCAAAAGAATTTTGATAGTCAATGGCTTACGTACATTTTCTTCTTGGAGTCGGCTGACATTGAACTTCTCATCGACTAAACGTTTTGTTAAATTAGATACTTCACTTGTTAATGCATTTTTTTCAGTCTCACATTTATCGACAATTCTCAAAAGTTTGTCTTCCAGATTCTGGTTTACTTTTTGAACCCTTTTATGCGCTTCATATAGCCTGAAAAAAAAAAAAAACTTGTAATTTTATAGGCAGAAAATGGTTTACGATTTTGAAAAACAAGGAAATGTTTAGACATAGAAATGTGAAAAATATTTCTATCACAAATTAATTAACTGATTTCCATATTTGTCTCGCTTTTTTCCAAATACTATGAATTCATACCTCGAATATTTATCCTGCCATGTTAGAAGCTCCTCAGAAATAGCTGCCATTTCACCATTTGGAAACTTGTCAGCTTCCTTTAAGAAATTAGTTTCCATAGTTAAAATGTGATTCTCTTTTTCGATCAATTGCTGTTTTAAGTTTTCAATTTCTACATGGAGATGAAGACCTGAATGATCACCACATTCTTGACAATGGCATCCGCATCCCTGAACACACAATTAAACAAAAAAGAATTGTCAATGTAAAATGAAAGTTTACACTCCCAAGGAGAGTTGAGGATATAACTGAAAGTACATTTAGAAATATTTGTTGAACACAACTGCAATACAGCTTCAATAACATGATAGTCAATAGTCTATACATAATATTATGACATCTTGTCAATGAAAACTGAAATTTTTATTACAAAATATATATTACTTAATGAGATAATTCATAAAACTATGACATGAAACAATAATTTTAGTTTAGGATTAATTATTTATTGAATTTTGTTTTAAATTTGAGTTAAAAATATCATAGAAATTTTTTCAATGTAAAGGATACTTGATTGTTGCCTTGTCAAATTAGTAAATTTGAATAAAACTGTCAATTACAATATGCTATGTAGATTGTACATACTTGTTATTAAAAGAGTCATTAGTTTGCCAACTTATAATCAATCACCAATCAGTATACAGTCAGTAGATATTTACTTCCCATTCATAATTTTATTTCAAACAAAGACAATGCCTTAAATTTGAAAGGGCCGTTATATTATTATTATTTTTTTGAATGAACTGTTAATTATAAAAAACTTTTCTTTTCAATTTACTAGGTTGTAGGAATTTCAAAAGAACCTCACAAATATATTAATTGGTAGAAAATGTTAACTACATGTTGAACCGGCCCAGGGTCACTTACTGGGTCTGCAGCTCCACTCACAGGTTTTTGAAACCCATTATCAACTCTAAATGTAAACTACTTTATTTAAGGTTTGCACTTTTTTTCAGAAATGAACTAGCACAATCAAACTGTTTCCGGATTTGCAGCCACAAAATGTCATAATAGGCTGATGATATTGTTTTCTACTCACTCCTGAAGGATGTACACAATATTGAGCAGTGGAAGTTTTTATGAAAGGGGCCCAATTTACAATTTAGATGTTGACAAGGCGCCCATCACTAAAGGTAAAAGTCTCGGGTTCAGATCCTTCTACATACTTATAAATAGGCTTTTTGTGAAAAACATTGACATACCAATGCTTGATATCGTTGACACCATGTTAAAGTGACGAATATGGATTTCTCCACTTTTCAGGAGAGCCAAAAAACCGATTTACCCATAATCTAATGAAGCTAGAGATTCGTAAAAATGACATTACAGATTTCGGTCTACCGGTCACCGTATAGATTCAATATTTTACCACAAGGTGGGCCTCATAGAATGCAACGGTAAACGAACGAAAAAAAAAAAGCGATTTTTCACATTCGTCACTTTAACATGGTGTCAACGATATGACCTCTGCTGTTGCAACCCTTGTAAAATAAAGACTTTTTTTTTACAACTGGAACATCAAAATTAAGTGAAGTACAACGGAGACAATCATTTTCTGCAAATGGAGTCTGTTGTTTCCTAAGAGAATCCAGTATGAAAGGGAAAGTTTACCAGGCATATCAAAATCACTGATGGATAAAATTATCGCACCACCCTTAAATTTACATGTATTTAGTTTTATTTGCATTTTGCATACCAAAAATAGGTTTGGTTGAAAAAAATCAGACTTTAAAAAGAAAATGTTTATTACCTAATTCTAAAAAGATAATTAATTATTGAGTAAAGAAAAAAAACTTTTTTGTACCCTTTAATACTGTGTATTTCCACTTTTGGCATGCATCACAACACCCATTAAATTCTGTTGCATTCCTTTGATAAGATTTCAGGTAAAATCCTGAGGAATTCTTTCCCATTCATCAAGAACAGCCGTTTCCGACTTTTCAAGGGTGCAAATCTGGACTTCGCACTGGCCACATGCAAGCACTCAATCCAACATCATTCAGGTAGTAGGTACAATACGCTCTTTGGGGCCTGGCATTACCTTGCATTAGCAACAATCTTTCATCGATGTGGGGGCAAATGGAACTACATGTTCTTTGATTATGTCTCATAAGTGCTCTGTGAAGTATGGAGATCTTCCATGCACAAGTAATTGGTGCAAGCATCTAAAGAAATACTATCCCAGAAAAAGGACCACTGTAGAACCATAAAGCATTGGACACACTACGCCTATCAAAATATTTGAGGCCAATTCTGACCTCATCGGTTAACTGAACTCATCCCTAATCTTCTAATGTCCAATTCACATGTTCCTGTGTGAACTGAAGCCTGGCCTTTTTATGAGCTGTGGTAAGAAGAGTTCCATGAGCCAGGTGCCCTGAGGCTATTTTCATTGAGCCTTCTTACAGTCTTGGAAGAAATTGAAACATTTCACATTTTCTTATCTCATTTCCTGTAATGCAGCAGTTTCGTAGAGCCTGAAGAAAGCTGAATCTATCATCTCTCTTCCGTAGACCTAGATCGATCTTTCTAGTATGAAGCCCTGTTTCTTTGAAGCGCCGAAGCACCCTTCCTATTGGAGTGTTTTGTTCAGTCTCCTGGCAACTTTGTGCTGGCTGTATTCTTCCTCCCTAATAATGTTATGACCCTGACAATGTCTCACTCAAATGCCTGTCAGTAGCCACTGAAAAAGGTTTAAGAATAATGTCAAATGATTCAACAAAGGAAAAAGATTCACTCAAAGCAATCTTTAGGCATAACCGAATGGAAGGGCATAAGGCTACTTTTTGTGCAACTGGGATTAATCAGTACAAAAGTAAACAAGGGAAGTAAACAAAGAATTATTTACTGTTTATTTGGACTATGATAGCACCTAATTACCTGTAACTAATGTAGAAAGATAATGGATTTAATTGTGCGTTAAACTTGTCCATTAGTATCTCTGTGATAAAAGCTCACCTTTACTTCTTTCAGAAAGGTCAGGGTGAATAAGGGCAAAGTGTTTATCCGAATATTTTACCCCATGCTCTATCAACAGATAATTTGTCACAGGGCACAGATATTTCAATGCTAGGCTGTGGTCAGGTTGATGCTTAACCTCATAACTGATTGAAAGATCGCCTTCACTTTCAAAATAAAGGATAGGGTACAAAACTGTATGAATACTTCCCCCCCTTGCTTTATCGCAGGATGCAGGCCAATAAACTTCTTTTGGCGGTGGTCAGCCCTGCACTGCTCAGAGTCTTGCATTCAGATCAAACCTCACAACAGGTTGTGCAGAATAACTTTCTGTGGCTTGTAACAGGCTACTAACGTATCATAACTATACACTGTGATAGAGTATAGTTTCAGTACAATGTGCTGTTGAGTAGCTATAACTATTAACATGGATGGAGACTAGGAAAGTGACAAGTGCTCTTCTACAATTGGCCATAGGCAGGTGGGGGTGTTTAAATGAATTTGCCCTAATAAAATATATCACATATATTATATCAAATATATCACATATATCAAATATATTACATATTTAACGTTTTATCGTTGTTATTAATATCGTTAAGCAATAGAAACTCCAATGCGTTTGAAAATTGTAAAATGAATTCTATAAATGGTGATAAGACTCTAGTTTAAATAGTTAGAAGGTCAAAAGTCCGTCGAATAGAAATTCGATTACTTATGTTATTAACTATCCATGGCACAAACTACAAAGCGACCAATTACGAAAATACTCACATTGCACGTTTTAGCTTTGAAGGACATCATAAAGGCAAGGAACGGAAGGAAAAGAAAAATGGTCCTGTCGTAGGATTCTCCAGTTTGAAGGCGATCTTGCTGCTGATGTCACAACATAGCTGTCGACGCGGCTGGCGGGCTGGTTGGCCGTTTTTTCCTCCTTGCGAACCGTCAACACAGGTTTCCGTAGCGAGAATAGAGCCACGACATGAACAACTTAGGTCGAGGAGCACTAAGACGACAGCCACTACGTTCGTGAGTCGGGCACACTGCAGTCTCTGCAACGATACGCGCAGCGGTTGAACTATTTACGAGCGGATGGGATTTCTGCTCAGACAGGCCATGCAATTTGCACCAACGCGGCCCACTTTGTTTTCTTACGATTAGACAACAGTTAACACAGTGCAGAAGACGGGAAGGGGGGAACAGACGGTCCGTCCGTCAGTCGGTCTCGTCTCCTGTTTCCACCGGCAATCACTCGCGTCACTCTCGACGAATCGTTTCCCGGGCAAATTCAAATCAGCATCGGTAAAAGGCGATTCCTTTTTGTTCCACTACCGCAATTCAATTCTTACATCTGTTTTACTTTGGAACGTTTATATTTTGTTTGACTAGAAATTTAATGGTTGAAATTATGCCAGGCACACAAGGTCCATCCACGGGTTGAAACGTGTGTCAGTTGTCTTCCTGGTTTGAGCATTTCACAGTGTTCGATGTGGTAACTGTGAAAATACTTCCTCCCATTTGTCATGGGGCCTTCTTTAACATCTAAACTCCTCTAAACCTCACATCCCATTGGCAGAAAAAGCAAGTGTACATGGAGCTGTTTTTAAAAACTCTGTTAAAACTATTGGGTTGTCCGGAAAATAATGCAGGTTTTCAAGTTTTCTTTTAATTACTCAAGTACGAATGTTAACACTTTTTAATCCTCTTCCAAACAAAATTGTTTGCTTACTTCAGGAGCATTTCATTCTTTGGGAAAAATTCAATTTTAGCAAGATGACAACGCGTGATTTTCGCGACATTTCGTTTCACGAGTTTAAACTCGGTCGGAACGGTGCCCAAACGGCTAGAGGCAAATAAGATTTATTGTTCTTCTTCTGCGGATGTAATTAAGGTAATCAGTTGGCTTTAGTGCTAATTTTTGTAATAAGGTAATATGAATGTGTTTGTTTCTTTTTAATAAGCACTTTTCACGTGTTTTTCCTTGTTTTTGTTTGTGTGACGTTGCAAGTGACAAACTGATCTAGGTGATTGCGTCCTATGAAGACGTGGAATGTATTGTTGGCCTGGTCAACTGAGAACTGAATCGAAAGCGACTACGGTTTACCTTACTCGTGTGTGTGTGTGTGTGTGTTTGTGTTTGTGTGTGTGTGTGTTATGTGCACCGCCCTGGTTCGGTCCGACAAACCAGATAAATAAACTTGTACTTGTGCAGGCCGGCCTTTTTAGTTCTATCTTCTTCTCTCTGGCAGTTGGATGGTGGAGGATGCCTTGAAAGTAATTGAAAGATTGCTATATTGCTAAATTACTCAGATATGCGGATGACCTGCTATATATGGCTCTAATCCCTACATATTTGCAAGGAATATCAATTCATCAGATAATTACTGCAAAAACAATGAGGCTTAAAGGTCAATGAAGTAAAATCGGAATAAATGAGCTTTAGACAAGGCTGCACAGTCGCACCCGCACTTCTAGAAACCCATCCTATCTTATCCCAACAAACACCACCTTTTTTTAAAACTGTAAATTAATTTGTTGAAGTCGTGAGGAGCGGTCAAGAATGAGGTAGTTTAGAAAAACACTTTTTTTAGCCGACGTTTCGACCTTTATTCGGGTCATCTTCAGGGCATAAAGTGTGGTACTATTCTTGTGGTGTCATATTGGTTTTGTGTTAAAGTGTTGTGAATTAACCCTGTAGAGTAAAGCCCTCAGGATTCCTTAATCCCTCAATTAAATGAATATAAACAAATTTTTCGGCTTTGAATTAAAAAAAAATGAATCTTTAAAAAAAAGCTGTTATTCCTACAAAACGATAATTAGTTGTTAATATTTAAACTTAAAATTATGAATTTATACATGCGGGGAGCACGACTTTCTGAATAAGCGTTCGCATATATGAACGAAAGTTCAAATTTAGAAACATATTATCATGATAAATAATTATACACATAAATAATTATACAATTATACACACAAAACCATCAGAAAACACAAAATCAACAAATGTACACAACAAAATGGGTTAGAACGTGTTTTGTACTAAGGTTAAATAGCAAATAAAATTGTTATGTCTATAAATTCAATAGTTGTTTCCCTCATTCATCACGAATGATCTAATTCGCATAGTTTGTGTGTAGTATATACCTTCACGAGGCTTGCTGAGTTGGAGTTGCTGCCTTCAACAAAACCCAAGTAGCAAGGAACTGCCATTACAGAACGTTAATGATTTACTGTGGAACGCCTCCTGATGAACCATACAGCATGGGGCGTACTACCCTGAAGTAGGCCATCTCCAGATTTGAGGCCAACCCTCACTTCATCTGTAAAGAGGACTCCCCCCCCCAATATTTCAATGTCCGATTTACATGTTCCCGTTCAAATTGAAGCATGGTCATGTTGTGAGCTGTGGTAAGAAGAGGTCCACAAGCCGGGTGGCCGGCCCTGAGGTTAATTTTATTAGCCGTCTTCTTACTGTCCTGGAGGAAATCGAAACATTTAGGACTTGTCTTATCAGATTTTTTATCTACTTTCTCCTAATGCTGCGGCTGCCTGATGACAGATGAATCTATCGTCTCTCTTGTCTGTAGACCTAGATCGACCCTTCTTGTATGAAGATCTGTTTCTCTGAAGCGTCGAAGCAACCTTCCCATTGTTGGGTGATTTGCACTCAGTCTTCTGGCGACTTTGCGGTGGCTGTATCCTTCCTCTAATAATGTTATGACCCTGACACTATCATACTCACTCAAATGCCTGACTGGAGCCATTGCAAAAGTTTTAAGAATAAGAATAATATCAAATGATATCAACAAAGGAAAAGGATTCGTTGAAAGCAATCTTTAGGTGTGGCTGAATGGAATGGCTTCCTAATTTTTGTGCAAATGGGATTAGTTAGTACAAAAGTAAAAAAGGAAATAAAAAAAGTATTATTTACTGTTTATTTTGACTACCATAACTCCTAATTACCTGTAACTAATGTAGAAATGTAATGTAATTAATTTTAAACTAAATAAATTCTGCGATGCGTTAAATTTGTCCGTAAGTGTATTTATCCATGCATTAAAAACACAATTTATATATATTAAATATATAATAAATCAAATTATTTAAAAATAAAAGGAAATTTTCAAAATTATATTTATTGCAAAAGTGATTTTAAAGTAGAAATGGTGATGAAGCTCAAAAATCCGATGATTATTAATTATAATATTAGAGTTACATTTGTAATGAAATTTAAGTGGAAGAGCTAAACACGGGCAAAGGATGCGAAGTCGGCTGCGAATGCTTTTTTTTTTAAATTAACTTTTTTTTTGTTGGTTTGTGATAATGAGATAGTTTAGAAAAACACCTTTTTCATTTTTCTTCGACGTTTCGGCCTTTATTCAGGCCATCTTCAGGGCATAAAGTGTGGTGTTATTCTTGCGGTGTCATATTTGTGGTGACCACAAGAACAGCACCACACGTCATGCTCTGAAGATGACCCGAATAAAGGTCGAAACATAGGCAAAAAATGAAAAAGTTTTTCCAAAACTACCTCTTTCTTGATCGCTCCTCACATATCCTAGAAATTATTAAACAACCAAACGATCACTAAAAAAACAACATATTATTTTTATGTGGTAACACCAATGCTGATCACATGAGGCATCGAGCAAAATCGAAAATCTGCTTATAGGAACGCACTTGCTACAAGTGGACATCTGCGAGGGAGGAGAGTCGATTTGGGAGGGGAAATACATAACTTTAAATACATCCGTGTAGCTCTGTCCTCAGTCTTTGCGATGTTTTCTACGTGTAACGACTGTAGGATGTGGAGACGTAGGCCGACCACCAACTCGAGGAGGCTATCCTTGTCACTCCCAAGACCTCCCCGCTATTCTTACCGAACCAACGGTAAAACAACTTTTTTTTGTTTAATACGTTTTCGAATTTTATAAATATTTGGAAATATCTTAGTTGTATTTGTAGCAGACCATCTTACAAGGGAGAGAAATCCTAAAAAGGAAGTGCAGACTGCAGAAAATTTCATGAACAGTATTATTTATCCTCTTGTGAACAAATTTAATTTTTTTTAATCTGACCAAAAAGACCTAATGGATTCAATATGCAAAATTTCCGCATTGAAAAAATAAGTGCTCCATTATTAACACACGCATTAAATATTAGGAAAATAAATAATATAAGTAAAATTTAAAAAGATTTATTATTATTTTAAAAAACATAAGTTTTCATTATTACATATTTCGGTTTGTATATTTATTGATTATTGCTTGGTACTATGTCTTGATTCTTAAATTGTAAATTGGCAACCGAATTCTTTTTAAAAATTTTTTGTATATCATCTATTTTTCGAACACGTGAAAAATATTTAAATAACAACCCCTTGAAAAACCCTTCGTCGAATAAAATAATGTCAAAATTTCGAAAAATGACAGTCCAATTAAATCCACGTTAAAAAAATCATTATTTAGTTGTGAATAGATTTTTTTTAAATATCACTAATGAAAAACAGTTCTTTTGAATCTGCCTGTCATATTTAACCATCAATCAACCTGCGTTACTTCTTTCTATCGAATCACTTAAATGAACTAAACATTAGTGATTTAACTTCAATATCAAATGGCCAGAGAAACCCGCACTTCGTTCTCTGAGACCCAAACACATGGTTGAACCATAGATTAATAATATTGGCAGAAGTGTATCTATCTACGTACAATGGCTTTAATTGGAACAAATAGGCGTACAACTCTTACAAAATAAAACACTAAAATGCTGAATATATATTACTAAATTTAAAGTTAATTTATTTATCCTATCGTGCTTTGATGAAGAAAAAATTGGATAAGGGACCCGCGACCGTCAAAGGGAGAGGACATCTTTCACATCAACGACCCTACAATGAGTTATTTATTTTAAAGGTACAATTAGGGTTTTATGCCCCATTACATGTATATATACATATTAAAAATAAAGTGTTATAAAAACACAATAAAATAATAGTAACAGCAATCATAACAAAACGTAATAAAATATACAAAAGAATAATGACAATAATATATTTTTAAATATTAATTATTTATAATCGAATGGTGAAACCAAATTATGAAAGAAAAGCAGAAAGAAAAAACAGGAAACGGGAAAAAGAAAAGGAAGGCGGAAGAAAATGTGATGATGGCGTGGACCAGAAACAAGCCAATTCCATAGTAAATTAATAGCAAATTCCATTTATGTAAATAATAATGCCTTAACCGATATCCTTGGTTATGCCTTAGAGATATTGAACGTGGGCTATATTTAAGGAAATGATAAATTGATTCGTACAATTAATTTTTTTCCTGATAATCTGAGAATGTCAGATAGATCGCTGGATGTGCTACTTCGTCTAAAAAATGACCAGATATAGGTATGTGATTAAACAGTCCTATGTTATGCTAAGATTTGGTGTTGAAAACTAGAATGACTCAGTAGTAAATGCGACTAAAACACCTGAATAACATCATATAGTTGTTTGCATTTTTCACGCTTTTATTACCCACCAACTGTTCAAACATACCAAAATTGGGAAACGGAAGTTTAATGAAAGTATCAATCGTCTTGTCTCAACGTTTTCCGAAAGTTTTAAAGTTGAATAGTTCAAAAACTATAAGTAAAATAGGTTATGTTAAAAAAAAATCAGGAAAACTATTAACCTGCTAAAAACTTACAACTTTTTGTAATAATAATTTTTCTTTAGTTAACGATTGTGATAGAAAGTAGAGAATTAGCGTTTTAACGATGGCGACTTGTTTTTTAAGTTCTCGATAAGAACGTTTCTCGTTTTATATCCGACCTAAGTTTCCCACAGTTTGAGCAACTCGTTGTCAATATTTAGTCTGAAGTTAAGAATAGCCTAGTATTAGAAACGAAGGAATTCACTAGCATTGAAACCATTTGGGATTTTATGATGAAACGAGAATAACCGAGAATTAGTCACCGGGTACGAACACAAGGGGATGGGCTCTTCTGTCTAGAATAGGAAAGGAAACAAGTGTTCTTTTTTCAGATGTCAAAGCTGTAAACCGTCGAAGTGCGACATCGTCTCTGGTGCTCCTAAAACCATCAACCTATCGAATGAGCTTTCATGTCGATGTGAGCGGAATCTTAATGTTACCCAGCAAACCAATTTTTATATGTGCTAATATGCAAAAGTGGTTCCGATTGTCTTTTTTCCTCTTTGTTGAATCAAGGCGTTGTTTGTTGGCATATAGGGATAGGGGATAGGGAAAAAAAGTGCACTGCACCTCGACCTGAAGAGATCTATTACTCCCCTGTTTTTTTATAACTCACGGCCAGCTTCAAGTTGTCAATCAGCCTCCATAGCTTTCCCAACGGTTCCTTAGTATAGGATCTTGCTTACGGGTTTTCTTGTCTTAGTTGCAAGAACCTGTACCTACTTAGACCCTCACAGAAACATAGAATGTGTTCTGCGGTCTTCTCCTCTTCCTGGCAGTATCTGCACAGTGTTTCTTCTGTCTGTACACATCCGGTGCATGTGCTTTCTTAATGCTTGTTGGCATATACTAATGTCTTTTCCAGTAATGTCAGTATTCAAGGGTGATTCATTAACACCGAAGAAAAAAAAAAAAAAAAAAAACGAATCTGCAGTGTATTCAATTGCAAATTTAAAATGTATTTACATACGGCAGACCGCATCTCACGATCTCGGAATAATCATTGACTAACGGCCACTAAAAACCACACTTATTTACATATTATTAGTTTCGACATCATAAAATGGATTAGTTGAAATAGGAATTAATCAAATCTAAGTTACTATTTCTCAATTTTTGGTTTTGTCAGTAGTTTTATCTTTAGTGATCATGTCTGAATCCGCTTGTTACGTTTAAACTGATCGTACGTGTTTGATATATTTTGCATTTATGCATACTGAAAAAAAAATTATAAATCGTTTCACAACAGACTGGCGCTGGAAATGTAAATTCGCCCAAAATGTGCATAAGACGTACCGGCACGCAGCGGGAACAGAGGTCGACAAAAAGATGAGAGATACCATCAGAGCACTTAATAAACTAAGAGCCCAATAGAAAAAAATTAATATGGTCCATTAATTATTCAGAAATCGTGAGATGCGGTCTGGTTTTGATGTAGGTTTCAGAAAAACGTTTTCTTTATCGGGCCAACGTTTCGATCTTTATTGAGATCATCCTCAGGATCCAGGCCTGGAATTTACAAACATTGTTTAAATTTAACAAATACATATATAAACANTTGTTAAATTTAAACAATGTTTGTAAATCCCAGGCCCTGAAGATGATCTCAATAAAGATCGAAACGTTGGCACGATAAAGAAAATGTTTTTCTGAAACCGCATCTCACGATTTCTGAATAATCATCGACTAACGGTCTAACGGTCACTAATCACCACACATGGTCCATTAATTTGTCCAAAATAAAATAATTAAAACAGATAGATTGGTATTAGTTCGTTTCGAGGTGATCACGGGAAACACCACCTTCAGTGAATTGTGTAAAACTGAAAGTTAAAAAACTTCTGTGTATTTTTTGCTATAAATAAATGATTTCAAAGTTAGAAGTAACGACCACTTTTTCACTCACCAACACTTTCAAGTGGATCAAGGTATCAAGAAAAAAACAAATTCAATTTTACTGCCAAACTTTGACCTTAAAATCGGTCAAAAGCTTAGCAGTAACAACTGAATTTACTTTTTTTCTTCATGCCAATACCTTTGCATATTTCTTCTAGAGTGTTCGTGGATAAATAAATGTGCAAAGTAATACTGTTGCAATAATTATTCGTTAATTTACGGTTTTACAGTTTGAACGTTCTGTCGGCATTTTGCCTCTCAATCTTATAGAAAATTAATTTCAAAAAATATTATGAATAAAGAAAAGACCTCTAAAATCAGCCAGCGGAAGGTAAATCAAAGAAACATAAGCGGAAGAAACGCTTACTTTTGTCAAAAACGAGGTACAACATCCGACGACTGTTAACTTGAGACCTTGGGCCCACTTGCCATCCCACTGCACGCCCAGTTGTCTTCTTTTAGCAATCGCGTTAAAGAAATCAAGTCTTTTGTTTTCTCGCTGTACTTTTTTAGACAAAGAATGCATTTCCTGATTTGCCAAAAACACCATTTTTATCTCGCTAGGTAATTGAATGCAGTTGCATCCCGTAGTTAATGAAAGCATATTAAACAAGTCGGTAAAGATCACCGTTTTGTCAAAATTTACGGATTCCGTATAAAAATCATCGATATTTAACGGTGGACGTTCGGCAACATGTTTAATAAAAAGAGAGGTACTTTTGCCGAAAGGAAGACAAGAGATTACACTCTAACGTCGTCCTTGTAAGGTCCTTTGAGCATTAACATCTTCTTTTCAGCTCACCATCCGTCATTTTATCAAATTATCTTCGTTATGTTGTAACCATAAAACGAACCTTCATAAATCAGACCATTTAAGAACTAGGTCAGATTTGGTAATGTTAAACCGAAACGGGACAGTCATCGTAGGCGATCTCTGTCAAGGGCGTTTCAGAATTCCTGATTTCGTCCCACGGGGAGCTCGCCTTATTATTTATAATTGCAATTTTCATCCTAAAAGGGACAATTTCACAAAAGGGCAAAGCATAACGATTTATTTATCGTTATGGATGGTTAGGGGACAATTCTACATTAACTTTGTTCACCTCTCTCCAACGTTTTTATTAATATTTTCGGTCATATGTTCGCACTGAGTTTTTTTGTGTTGTTTCCTATGTCTGGTTTATTTTTGAGTTCTGAGGTTGTTTATGTTGTGAGCATCACGACTTACTAACTGCCAAACCGACACTGAAGATGAAAAGTATATGGCGTCTAACAGACCAACTAACA